ACAAAAATGTGAATAAACGAATCAACTATGTGAATACATTTATTTCCGGAGGTGGAATACATATAGATGCAAAATTTGCATACAAAGATATGCATACAAAGTCTCTGCTGCGTTCACGTCGTGCGTGAAATCTATTCGTCAGTGGCTGTCCGCTCTGTGTGTGAGTGACCTGTAAGTGAGTCTCACTGTGAGTGTCTGTAAGTGACCTGTAAGTGAGTGTCTGTGAGTGTCAGTGACCTGTAAGTGAGTGTCTGTGAGTGACCTGTAAGTGAGTCTCTGTGAGTGTCTGTGAGTGACCTGTAAGTGAGTCTCTGTGAGTGACCTGTAAGTGAGTGTCTGTGAGTGACCTGTGAGTCTCTGTGAGTGACTGCTAACGTGTGTTTTGCGTTGCAGATAAACCGATCACGGTGACGCGGATGGAGGACATCACGGAGCCGGGAGAGCCGCAGGCAGCTGAGTGTGGCATCACCAGCACCACCATCGTCATCGGCGTCGAGCCACCTAAGATGGATGAGGTGCCCGTGTCTCGTCTCTCCGCCGACGCAAACTCCTCCCTCCTCTCCTCCTCCTCCTCCTCCTCCGTCTCTGCCACAGCCGTCGCCGTCGCCGACGAGAAACCGGAGATATCGGTGAGCAGGACAGTGCTGGCGGCGGACGGTGCATGCAGCGCCGCCATGCCTGCGCGTGTGTCCGCTCCCGCCGCCACGGACGAGGAGGCGGTGTGCACCGCTAACCACTTGTCCGGCAGTGCGAGCGACATGTCTGTCGCGAGCCGCGGTGCCACGCATGAGGCAGCTGTTACGAATACCTCCGCTCAGAACAATGAGATGCACGGCGGCAAGACGACGGCGCGGCACGCCGACACGATCGACCGCACGGCCGCCACAGCCGAACCCCACCCCGGCGTGAACAATGCCGCCGCAGCGACACCTGGTGTTGCGCCCGCGAACCGGCAGCTGCAGAAGACGGAAGGTGGCGGGCCGGCGGCGGCGGCTGCGGCGGACGACGTTTCCGCGGAGACGAAACCAGTCGACGAGCTTCTGAAAATGAAGACGAGCGAACTGCTGGCTGCGGACTCCTGCCGGGACAGTGGCAAGGGCACGAGTCCTGAGAGCGAGCGAGACAAGAGCCCAGAGAACAGCGACAAGGGCAAGAGTCCGAACAGCCTGAAGGACCCGTCCGAGTGGGAGGGACTCGAGGATTACCTCGACGAATGCAGCAAGAGTCCGTCGAGTCTCGGCGGCGGCGGCGGCGCCTCCAACACCTACAAGTTCTCGTATGGCGGCGGCGGAGGCCAGTACGCGGTGACGGCGGCGCCCCCCGGTGGCACGAACAGTTCGTCGCACGTGCGGACGACGTCGAGCTACGACGCGGACACGCTGGCAGGGGGCGCCACGCTGCTGGGGGCGACATCAGACCACCGCGGCGGCGGCGGCGGCGACGTGTGTTCAACGTTGGCGAGCGTCTATGGAGCGCGAGCGTACGGCGTGGACGCTCCGCCGCGGCCGCACGTCAAGTTAAAGTCCGGCCAGGCTGCTGCCGGCGGCGTCTACAAGCATGACGTGAAGCAAGTGCTGCAGCAGCAGCAGCACGGCAAGGTGAACATGAAAGCTGCTGCTGCTGCTGCGGCGGCGATGGTAGACGGAGGCGGCGGGGCGCGCGAGGTGACCGCTAACATCGCGGCGGTGGGTGAGGCCGCCATGCGCTCGCTGTACGCGCCGTGCAGTGCCAGCGGTGCCCTCGTCCCCATCCAGGGTTACGGCGGCGGCGGCGGCGGCGGCGGCGGCAAGTCGTTCGCCGTACAGGAGGTGTATGCTCGCGGCGCGCCCAGCCCCGCAGCCCTGCAGCATGGCAAGTCTCTCGTCGCCGCGATGCCCCTCAGTGCTCAGCCCGCGAGAACTACACACTCGCCCGTCGACCCGGCCACGGCGGCCGGCGCCATCATCCACGCGACGAAGCTAGGTGGCGTGTCGTACCCCCTGCAGCAGTGGAGCGGCGGCGGCGCGGTGAGTCTCGACGGCTTGCACAACGCGCAGCAGCAGCAGGGGGCGCCGGCGCCAGCAGCGTCGTCCGCGCAGCCGGGCCTGGCATGCTCGCAGCCGGACGCGGCGACCGTATCCGCGAATAGTGTGTTTGCCGCCAGCGTGTCGTCGTCGTCGTCAGCGTCGATGAACGGTCCGTCGTCGTCGGCGGCAGCGCTGTCTGTGACGGAGGTCGTGTCGAGCATACTGAACGCTTACAGCGTGTCGATGCAGGCAGCCGCCGGCTCCGCGCCCCAGACAACCTGCGCGTCGTTGAGTCGCGACCACATGTCCAGGCAGCATTACCAGTCGTCCCCGACGACGGCGACGACGGCGACCAAGAATGCGTCGTACGGCGTGGCGGCGGCGGCGATCGATGGCGGAAACGCGCCGACGTTAAAAAATGGTGCGGCGCATCAGCAGACTCTCGCGCAGGGGGCGCTGGCATCGCACCAGCCGCGCACGTCGTCCACTCATTCTCCCGTCGTCGCGTCGAACCTCGCAAACACGATAGCAGAGGTGAGTCGAGGCGTGGTTGCCGCGGGCGACAAGGCGGGCGTGTGTTCGCTCGCCACGGCAACGAGTCTGACCTCTACCTCACCGCAGCAGCAGCAGCGAGTATCGAGCGGCGTAACCACGGCGACGACGACTACGAGAGTGCGGCCCTCCCCACCAAAACCTGCTCCCCTGCAAATTCCAAAAGTGCAGACGTCCGGCCCAACGTTGGTGGCGTCTCCGGTCAACCTCGCGTCCAGTTACCTCCTGGCGGCGGCAAGTCTGACGCAGTCCGTTCAAGCCTCCATGTCTCTTGCGTCCTCTCACCTGTTCGGCCCTCTATCTCCGCCGCTGCCCAGCCTGCAGAGCAGTGCGGCGGGCAGCCAGTGCCTCACCACCACGTCTCAGGTTGGAGTCGGCTCCTACACGATGCGCAGCAGCAAGGCTGTGCAGAAACGCTCAATCAGTCCCGGCCGCGGCAGCTCCCCACGCGCCTGGTCCAACGCCGCGGCCCAGCCTGCCTCGCCGTCCCTCGCTGCAGTGACGGCCGACGCGTGCAGCATAGCGGCGGCGGCGGCGGTGCGGGAGCAGCCAGCGTGCACGTGGACGACGACCCCCACTGCTGCGGCCGTGTCGAACGGTCCCGCATCGCCCGCTTACTCGCTGCCAACGTCGATAACAACAGCGCTGTCCGCTCTCTCCGAGACGTCGATGGCCCTCAGTCGCTGCCACGGCCGCGCGGTGGCGCCACCTACCAGCAGCAGCCAGTCAAACTCCGCCCCCATCACGAACGTGTTTCTCTCTCAGTTTGCCACGTCGGAGATGTCGCACGACTCCGCTGACGCCAAGTCGCCGGCCAGCGACGGTTACCATAGTGCCACAAAGCCGCAGTCTGCGTCGCCACGGCAACGCGACGATGACTCGACGCCCGTCGCGCGGAAGCTGGAGTCGGAATCTCACGCGGTGTCCGCGTCTCAGTTCAACTTCGAGGAGGTTTCTGTGTCTGCGTTGGTGATGAACAGTGATGATGTGCACGACTACGCGCCCTTGCCTGCCCCCGGCGAGAACTCTCCATCCCCCAAGCAGGAGCCGGCCGTCACGAAGACAATTGTGGTCATGTCCCCTGGGAGGGCCGAGTCTGACGCCTCTGCGAAGCAGCAACAGCAGCAGGAGCAGCAGGAGCAGCAGGAGGAGGAGGAGGAGGAGGAGGAGGAGGAGGAGGATGAGGAGGAGGAGGAGCAGCAGCAGCAGCAAGAGGAGGAGGAGGCGAAGGAACCGTCGTCAGCCGTCGTCACACAGCCGCTAAAGATCGACATCCCCGTGTCGACGTCGTCAGTGCCGATGGCTCCGGCGTCTGCGGGTAAGAGAGCCTCGCGGCAGCAGCCCAGCCCTCCCTCGATGCGCATCACGCGCTCAGCAGCCGTCGTCTCCCCCAAGCCGGCCGTTGTCGACGCCGCTCAGCAGGGGGCGCTAGCGTCGCACGCGGGCACACCGACGGCGACGCCTCGGGCGAGTCCGCGCGGCGTCAAGCGTAAGTGTGGCTCGGAGGAGCCGGAGAACGGGGTGGCGGGGGCGGGAGCCCGCGTGGGGGGGCGCCTACGCAGGAGGGGGTCGGTGGACTCGCAGCCGGAGCCCGTGAGCCCGCGGGAGACGTTCACGCGACCCAGCGAACCCGACGAGGCGAACGCCGCATCCAAGAAGCTCTCCAAGCGCAAATCTTCCGAGACGGCTGCTGAGCTCATCAAGGCATGCATCGGACTGGAGGAGAAGCCTGCGCGGCCCTCCCCCACCGCGGGGGAGGACACGCGAGGGGGGAAACCCCTGCCCCCACCCCCGCTGCCGCGGGGGAGGCCCGGAGACGACGCGCGACCTGACTCCCCGAAACCCGCTGCACGACCGACGCGCAGTCGTCGCCGCGGCAACGCCGAGACGACGGAGAACGAGTCGAGCGATGACGAGGTGTTGCTGAGTGAGCTGGTGGGGAGGAAGCCGGGGGATCGTCGCGGGGGGAAGTCTCCTCAGGAGAGGCCGCTGCGAGGCAAGGAGATCCAGAGCAACAGCCGTAACAACAAGGATGCACGCGGCATGCGCACCCGCACTCACTCCGAGTCAAGCGCCGCGTCCGAGACTGGAGACAGGCTGGGAAAGACGGGGAAGGAGGAGAAGGTTGGGAAGAAGGAAGTGCCAAAAGCAGTGGAGAAGAACACTCGAGGTGAGCAGCAGCAGCGGCAGGGGTGAACGTTTACCAACGTGAGGGGTTGAGGGTTCACGAAACGCGGTAGCACTTTGGGAAAGAATGCAGGAACTGTAGCTTGCTGGCATGATACGAATTGGGGGGGGGGGTGGTGAATAATAATAAATTCAAATTGCATTTGAAATGCATTTTCCATTGCATTTTAATGGGAATGATAACAAACTTGCGTTTGCTTGTTTGCAGCCGCGAGTAGGCGGAGGTGCTCTCCTTCACCGATGCCACCTGTAGCCCAAGAACAAAAGGAACAAGTCGCAGAGAAAAACACAAACAAAAGAGCGACGCGGTCGAGTGGCACGAAAGGTAGGAGGATGTTGCAACTCTAAGTCTACGAACTGTGGTTCTTAAAGTGCGCTAACAGATTTACACATTCTCGTTTATTAACAACATTTAGCTGGTTTTTTTTCACTGTATTTGTACTTATTGTATCTTACTACTCGAGTGTGGGCCAGTAAGTATTGCCATAGATGCATTAGTGCCCTTAGTGCAACCATCGCCCACGATCACTGTTTAACGTCACCGTCTCGTTGTCGTTGCAGTGGAGAGCTCGCAAGATCTGCCACCTGTGAAGCGCAACCGACGACGGTGAGGCTGACGAGCGTCGTCACGGTAACGAGCGACGATCCCCCGCCGGTCGAACGCGCGCTTGTCGTCTCATCGTCCGACCGCGCCGGCCCGCGGGGGAGAGACCAGGCCTGTCATTCGTCGCGCCCCCTGGCTGTGTGTGCGGGGGCAAAGAGCCGCACCTTGCTCCGGAGCGACAGCACGAATAGCCACTTGTTTATTTGTAGAAACGGGGCAGAGACACTGTGGAGGGGGATCAGTGCGACCAAGACGCGACGAGGCAGCGACCGCCTGCAGAACTCTGAACTGTCGTTTTTCCAGGTGTGAGAGCAACTGACTGCTAACTGGTAGGGTCAACAGCGCAGAGCGAGAGATATTTGCAAAGTGCACGTGCCATAAGATGTATAAATAAAGTGCAATAACGTCAGTCAAATGTGCGGACCAAGATTTTGTTGTGTGTTCGACACCGTGTGCTGCCACCTGTTGTGTTCTAGTAATGGTTTTTTGTTGGATATAGTATCTATGGAATATTATATATTTGATTTTTTGGCACGTTGTGTGTGTGTGTGTGTATGTATGTATGTGTGTGTGCGTGTGCGTGTGCGTGTGCGTGTGTGAGAGAGGTTGGCTATTGAGGCAAAGAATCACGTATCACTGAATTCTGTCTAATCTGTAAATACTGAATAAGCTTCACAGTCGACTAGTAAGAACGTTCTGACCCATGTTTGTATAATAACTGAAGAGTTTAGACTGTAAAGACTACTACCGCGTGTACAGACGAAAGATGTGAACTTAGGTGCGCACGATTAAGTTAATAATGTACATGTGTAACGCTGGTGCGTACGGTTTGAGTTTCAAAGACTATTAGATAATGCTAAATGTGTATTGAGCATAGGTGTCAAATATTTTGACCTTGCCTAACTGGGATGTTCTATTGTTAAGTTATGAAATGTGGCAAGAGAACATTTGCAATCGCATTCACCATTTGCAGTTGGCATCTTTAGTAGCGCTGTGCATCTTAATAGTGTTTCTGAACGCTTGTTGCTTGTAGATTTAGTAAACAGTGCAAAAATTATGAAAAATACTAAAAAATAATGAATTGCGTGTGTAGAGGAAGAAATCCTCTCACTGCGTCTGCATTAGAACGAGTTGCTGCTGTTGCAGAGTAGTGCCGCACTAGAATGGCAGGCAATGGATGAAGCAAGGGAGAACTGGGATACACTGTGAACTGTCTGTTGTAAAAACAATTCTTGTATTTTCCTCTCTCTATCTCCTTTAGATTTAAATCTTAGGTATATTATAACCTTCGCTGTATAATATGATTGACTGTGGCTGCTGTTGTCGCGTGCCAGTTGGGTGTTGATGATTGTGAAGTTGCAATTTTTCTGTGTTCACTCGTGTGGGATATGTCAGGTCCCATTGTACAGGCTATCTGTGAAGGCATTTACCATACACGGTGAAGCAGATGTTACTATGAAATTGCCAGTTATTTACACAAAATGAAGTTTTCGCTTTGTAAATTTACCATAAAATAATACTGGAGTCTAATCAATTTCGCTGATGAATTGGATTTAGTCGCCACTATATTATTGTAACTATATCTCTGTACGCAGGAGATCTAATTGTACATAGAATCACTCTAATATACGCCTGTTCTAATACTGAACAATCTATCATTCTGTTTGCTTTATTTTGAAGTTCAAAACTGCAAAGACGCGTTTTAATATAGTATTATTAATAGTGTTTGGCGTGGTGAACGTATCCGACACTGCAGTTGCTGTAGCGATGTTCAAACCACACTCGTAGCATCAATTATTGTAGTGGAAGCAGCAGCACGTTGTCTGACCTGTTACATAGAAGCACATGGATATAGATAGCTCCAGGGTAGAAGCCATGGTTGGTGTCAACTACTATCCGCTTCAGTGTTACGTGTCTCCATCGCGGTAGTAGGGTTGCTGTACTGGGTAGTAGATATTTCTCCTGTATCACGGGCCATCGTTGATGAAGTGTCGTGTAACGTTGTCGACCCAGCTACCAATATCCGGATTTCTCCTCGTTTGGTCTCGCCTGTGAGATACTGCATGTGCCCATGCAGCACGTGCATGCACCGAAAATTCCGACTCGTTCTCCGAATTATGTTAGAACGTTAGATACAGCTCTTTCACACGTGTTTATTGCTCCGTTACTTTATGTAGTGTTCTTGGATTTGATTTTTGCCAATAGCTACGCACCGGCAACAGTTGCAGGCATTTAACGTGTTTCTAGGGAGCCGTGCGTCTCTTGGTTGGTTGTCCTTCGCTCGTATTCTAATTTTTGTTTTATTTTGAGTAAACTATTAGCGCTGCAGCTGGGATACACCTTACAATAGTAGTGGGAGACACACTAATGTGTGATCTATACTGCTAAGATGTATTTTGTATTTTTATAAATATCCCGTATAATAAATACCTATAGGCTATATATGGAAATTAAAATTACTCGACCTGTTCATGGTATGGTTTTCTACATGCGCCCATATTTTCTTCCTACATTTAAAGTTGGCATTCTAAACTTCGAACGAATTTCCATTCGAACGTAACTCTAATGAGGATTACAGGGCCAAGGCGCTGAGCAAGGAATGCTGATCACTAGTAACTTTTATACATGGATTCATACATGCCTGCATGGTAAACGGGTGAAATACTTCTACCGACTTCCACTGCTGGGTCGCTGATACTGTGATAGAAGTATTTCATCCGTTTACCATGCAGGCATGTATGAATCCATGTATAAAAGTTACTAGTGATCACCATACTGAATCAGTTATGTTCAATCAACTATCATATAAACACCTGAAACGAGATTAATATTAATGCCAACATATATTATGTTGCCATTATTATTAATCTCATTTCAGGTGTTTATATGATAGTTGATTGAAAATAACTGCTCCAGTTTATGAAATGCGAACGTGTGATCATGAACGGCAAAGGCAATAACATTAAATGAAATAAACTAGACAAGCACTCGTAGTGAAACACTATTTTTGCAAGGATAATTTAATATTCAGAAACGATGCCATTCTTAAATAAAGTCGTACTGGAAATAAATATAACTTCCAATAACATTCGGTCAAATGTTGCAAGGCGTACAAAACATGGGTCATCATGTAGATTGGGGGTATAGATCGTGGATCGTCGTGTACAGATTGGAGACAGAGGTCCTGATTCGTGCTGTGTAGATCAATTTAACGACGTGCAAACACTGCGAGTAGTTACAGCAACGGCAATGTGTTAAAATGGAGGTTCCAACGCACAGAATATTACGCGGGGTTGTCACCGTAAGACACATTCAGCCATGTTTGTTTTGCCAAAGTCTTACATTGTACACGTTCTGTTCTTCCTTGATTACTGCGTATTTTCACCCAGAGCCTAAACGGTACATAGAATAATGTCTTGTGTTCTCATACACACATTGCTCTCGGAACGTTCGTTGTGAAACAATGGCAACAGATTTAATAATCATGAAACAGGTAAAGTAAAACGTATACAAGAATTAGCATCGACGGGACGCATGGACTTCCTCACTTCTTGTCACACCAAACTCAACACTACCGCTGTATCAATGCATATCATTTTATACAAACCTGGACTGAAATTACAATATAAGGCTTTCCATCATTCATTCACACGCGCACGCACGCACGCACGCACGCACGCACGCACGCACGCACACAAACAATATACGAGAACTGTTAAGCGACTTAACAAAGGGAAACTGGACGAAATTAGAAATATATGGAAACTGCTACACATGTTCACCCCCTCCTTGATAAGTCTATCATCACGAATATCAGTGCATTTCACTCCGCTATTTGACCTTATTTAGTCTCTGATTTCCCTTATCCAACTTTCAGGTTTTATTGAGCAGATTCCTATCGAAGAAGACGACATATTTCAGCTTCGTAGAAAAAAACAAGGATTTGGATATTTCCAACTCACACGATGTCACACAAGGCAATCGTGCATCTAGGACGCAATAGAAATGTTTACCTGGCACGGCCCTAATATTATATTAAAGCAGTGGTTTTATATACTGCTTGCGCTGGCTATGTATAGACAAAAGCAGTACAGCAAGCTAGAAATGACACCACTTGCAGATGTTACAAATACTCCAAGCACTGAACTGAACATCTCGACTCGCAATACATCACTTCTGCAGTTCTCATCTCACTAAATAATGTAGACATTTATACTGAGGAGCTGCATGATACGGAATCGTGGCAGACAATAGACGGATGCAGTCTGAATGAACATCGTGCACCGTGGATATGACAGCACGCACCGAGCAGTCATGTGCTAAGCGCGAGAGCTATCAGCAGCTACTGACACCTGTCATACTCTCTTGTTCACATCATACGAGGTTGATTGGCCACACGGGTTTGCAAATCACACGCCGACCACCGACACGAGGCCAAATCACGGCCACCACGTCACACACACACACGCAGACAGTTTCAGAGACAGCCATCACCGATCACAGACCAAGCACGGACTAATAACTGTGGCCCACCGACAACCCTGTGTGCATGCAGCCTCGTCCAAAATCTAACACAGCGTGCCACTGCTTGCATCCTACTGTCACGAGCGTGTGCTCTACAAATGAACCCTTCAATCACCCTTTACACCACGCATTCTCCCCACAGCCATCTTCCTCGTGCAGTATTTCGTGGCAAGAGTAATGGGATTAACATATATCAAGGTGCCTCGTAACGTTAGCGCTACAGGAATGCGTGATGCAAGAATTCGTTGGCGATGGGACAGCGATGCTAACACTCTGCAGCAACACTGTTACTGATGTAGTGTTTGACGTTCCCAGTAAGCGGTGAGATTACCGCCACGCAACCGATCATCGTGATTAATATATTCACTCATCTTTAATACATTAGCCACAAGGAGATACGTAAGTCATGTATAATATATATCTCTGGCACAGTTTTAGCATATTACCGTAGCAGACCTGTACACTGCATATTCAATACAGCTCTATTCAGAAGTTTACATACATCTGCGTCAATGTCACCTAGTTATACAATACCCTTCAAAAGGTTCATCCGACCTCACCTCATCTTATTACACAACAATTCCCTTTTTACATTTTTACCTATAATCATTCAACCACTAATCCGAGATTGAATGCACAAGTCCTGCCTCCAATAAGCATGCATGTAGCTCAAACGGATTCGGGCGCACTCATGAACCCGGCTTTACTTATGGCCCGACTCAATAATCAGCAAGGTATGCAATGCCTCTGTCGTCTCCTAATGAGAATGATACTGATGGACGATAGTATGCTTCTAAGTCCCATCTGGTTTAGTCATTGCCAACAGTTATCTGTTTAAACTCGAATGTTAATCAAAACAAACAATTTTTACAATTTACAATACCGTTTTCCAAACTCTGTATTCTGTGAAATAGTTGCTACCATATGAGTCACCGATAACACAGGATAACTGACATAATAGCCCCTATTATGTCTAGAGGCTATGATGCCAATGATTACGAGATCAATTTTACATTTCACCCCTACAAAACTTAGAAAATGTTGTAATACCCTCTCCAAATAACATATTCCGTTTTTGACATGCGAGTGTGTTACCATAAGCTTTGCTCTTCATGCTTGGTGAGATGGGAGGCTTGTGTAGGAGGAAGAGAGTGCTGTTAGCAATTAGTAGTTAAACACTGGATGGCTGTATTCTATACACGATGATGGCGATCACTTCAGTATGCTCCTTAGCCACTGTGCCCTGCCTTAGTCACTCTACACACTACGCCTGTACATGACTGCACGAGCGCCACCTGTAGAACAGAAAGATTTTATAGTTAGGGTTAGGGGTATAAAACAAATCATGAAATCAGCATGATACAATTTGGCAATATCACTCAAAATTTAGTCACATAACATTCTATAACACATAACTACAAGTGAAAACGGATTTTTTTTTACAAGCATATGTAGGCATGCACAGGCATCTCCTAATCCACTAGACACTCAGGCAGCAACACACACAGGCATATATAATATATACAAACCCACGCAAACACACATCCACCAGTGCATGAACAGACTATATAGTATGTGCATTTGTTTGTATACCTTTAGGTGCTTATGTATCCTTGCCTATATGTATGTGTGCATTTGTAAACATCTGACTGTTTGTATACTGGCATATATATGACCACGCGCCTTTATAAGTGGATTCATACACCTAGGGGTGTTTGGGCACTGCTGAACGTAGGTAGCACGTACGTGTGCTACCTACGTGTGCACGGCTACAAGCTACGTCACCTACCCTAGCAACACTTGGAGGAGTGGCCAGATGACTGTGATACATGAACGTTGGTGTGGTTTGTACTTGTATCTCTGCTAGGCGTCTGAAAATATATATATATATAGACATATATTTCATATCAGATCGACATATACAAAACTCTATATCATATCAGATATAGAAGATATAGATCAGAAAGAAATATCATTATGTGAGACTTTCAAGTATAATACATGGCAATAACATACATTGTATATGTTCCATGGTAAACATCGAATGCATCTACCTGTATAGGAAAGCCAGCAGCAGTCTATAAAGAACACTTTTAGCCTTTCTCTCCAGTAGTCATTATATATACAGGTTTGACTGTATAAGAAGATCAAACAATGTTACTAACAGAACAATGGTTACCTTATTTAATATGGCTTCCGCCAGCTCCATGAAAGATCTTTCTATGTTTATATTGTTCTTTGCACTGGTCTCAAAAAAACGGATACCATGTTCTCGAGCAATCTGAAAATGCAGTGAAAACGACCTGTGACAGAATCTGTACCACATTAAAACAAATCATTACGTTCCTGATATCCATGCAAGACACTGGAACGTCTACCCACGAGACACCTACTGTCGAAATACCGAAACAAATTATTTCAGATCATGTAAGAAAGTGTTTACCGAGAAGTGCCTTAAAAAGTTATTTGATTGATATTCAAGTTTAATACTCAATAATAAAACCAATAAATACAGTGTTCACTTACATTCCTACATTGTTACTACTACGGTCAACTCTCCAAATTCCGAACACCCTCAAAAGTGGATCTTACGTTAAACCGGACGATAAGTCCCAAAACTATCTAAGACATCTAAGTTGCTTCCTCCCCCTAAAAACTGATCATCACAGAAAACCGAACTAAATGGACAGTCCGGAGGGTGGTTAGTAATGGGAGAGTTGACTGTATACGTGTTGTCCAAGAGGATGACTCACTGCACTATTACTCTACAGATGCGTTACATGTAAACGTGACTTACCGCTTCGCCACGCTCCTTGCTCACCACGTTACATGTAAACGTGACTTACCGCTTCGCCACGCTCCTTGCTCACCACGTTACATGTAAACGTGACTTACCGCTTCACCACGCTCCTTGCTCACCACGTTACATGTAAACGTGACTTACCGCTTCACCACGCTCCTTGCTCACCACGCTACATGTAAACGTGACTTACCGCTTCACCACGCTCCTTGCTCACCACGTTACATGTAAACGTGACCTTACCGCTTCGCCCGCTCTTGCCTCACACGTTACATGTAACGCTGTACTGTTACCGCTCGCCTACGCTCTTTGTTCACACTGTTACATGTAAACCGTGGACCTTACCGCGTACCCGCTCTTGATTCACCAGTTATCATGTAACCGTACTCTTACCGCTTCACGACGCCTAGGCTTAACTTGCTCCACTGTTACATGTAACGTGATCCTTACCGCTTCGCACGCTCCTTGCTCCCTGATACATGTAAAGCTGATTACCGCTTCACCACGTTCTTGCCTCCACGTTATGTAATTGATTACCCCGCTTCACACGCTCCTTTGCCTCACCCGTTACTGTAAACGTGGATCTTACCGCTTCAACCTGTTACATGTTAAACGTGCTTACCGTTCGCACGATCTTGACCTCACATGGTCTACATGCTAGAACGTGACTTACGCTTCCACATGTTCATGTATAACGCTGACTCATCCCCTTCACCTTCGCCCCCCCCCCGGACAGGCACACCAGTCCGCGCTATACGCTGCACCACGCTCCTTGGCTCACCAGTTACATGTAACGTGACTTACCGCTTCCACCACTGTAATGTAAACGTGAACCTTCGACGTTACCCTAAATGTTATCATGGTTAAATCGTGCACTTTACGCTTAGTCCGCGCTCCTTGCTCACAGGTTAATGTAAATTTAGTGACTTACGCTTCACCTACGGCTCTCTTCTCCATGATACATGGGAGAAAGTGAACTTACGCTTTCGCGCCGCTCCATTGCTTCACTCACGTTACAGTTTTAGGACCGTGACTTGTACGCTTACACAACTGCTCCTTGTCACCCGTTACACTGTTTAATAACGTTGACTTACGCTTCACACGCTCCTTGCTCACCGACCGTTATGTATATTCGTGACTTACTCCTTACTGACCACGCCCTTAGCTCACCACGTTACATCGGTCAAAACGTGACTTACCGCTTCACACGGCTCCCTTGTTCCCATTTTAATGGTAAACGTGCATTACGTTCCACGCCTATGCTTGCCTCACACGTTACATGTAACGGGAAGCCGGGGGGGGCGGCCGGCGACTTACCGCTTCACCACGCTCCTTGCTCACCATGTTACATGTAAACGTGACTTACCGCTTCACCATGTTACATGTAAACGTGACTTACCGCTTCGCCATGTTACATGTAAACGTGACTTACCGCTTCACCACGCTCCTTGCTCACCACGTTACATGTCAAAAGTGACTTACCGCTTCGGCCACGCTCCTTGCTCACCATGTTAACTAAACGCTGACTTACCGCTTACGCCACGCTCCTATGCTTACCAATGATAGCATGTAAAGTGCACTTACCGCTTCGCCACCCCTTGCTCACCATGTTTACATGTATAATCGTGACCTTACCGCTTCACCACGCTTCCTTGTCACCACGTTACATGTAACGTGACTTACGCTTCCCACGCTCCTTGCTCATCACCATGTTACATCGTTAACAACGTGAATTACGCTTCACCACCGCTTGTCACCATTATACATGTAAACGTGACTTACCGCTTCAGCCACGCTCCTTGCCTCACACATCGTTACATGTAAACGTTGACTACCGCTTCACCACCGCTCTTCCTCCCATGTTCACATGTAACCGCTGATTACGCTTGCGCCACGCTCTAGCTCACCAACGTTACTTATGTAAACGCTGACTTTACGCTTCGCCACGCTCTTGCTCACCATTGTTACCTGTAAAACGGTGATTTACCGCTTGCACGTCTAGCTCACCACGTTATCATGTAAACGTGACTACCGTTCGCCACGCTCTTGCGCTCACACGTTTACATGTAACGTGACTTTACCGCTATCGCACGCCCCACTGCCTCCTTCTACCACGGTTACATGTAAAGTGACTCTACGCGTTTCACACGCTCCTTGCTCACCACGGTACATGTAACCGTGACTTACCCGTTCACCCGCCTCCTTGCTCACCACGTTCATGTAACAGTGACTACCGCTTCACAACCCTCCTTGACTTACCTGTACAGTAAACGTGACTTACCGCTTCGCTCACGCTTGCTCCCCGTTACATGTAAACGGACTTACGCTCACCACGCTCTGTGCCTACCATGTTAACATGTAAACGTGACTTACCGCTTCGCCACGCTCCTTGCTCACCATTCGCTTCTCCTCCATGTCGCACTTGTTTCCCAGAATCATCTTTTCTACGTCTTCATTTGCATGCTGGGAAAAGAAGTGATTTCAACATTTACCAGAACGAACGAAACTGAACGTCAGCTGGACTACCTTCACTCACTACGACTGCCGAGCCACAGTCTGACCTTAGTTCGACTATACGTGACCGAACTGAAACCAAATGCAAGCCTCCACCGAGAATTTAACCAGTTGTAATAAGTTATGCATCCAGGGGCAGATTCTCTCACGTGACGGATGTGTTGAGCCAGGTTTAGAGTACTAACAGGTAGATATCAGAGAGCCAGGTTTAGACTAGTAACAGGTAGATATAGCAGAGCCAGGTTTAGACTAGTAACAGGTAGATAAAACAAAGCCCGTATTAGACTAGTAACAGGTAGATATCAGAGAGCCAGGTTTAGACTAGTAACAGGTAGATATAACAGAGCCAGGTTTAGACTAGTAACAGGTAGATATAGCAGAGCCAGGTTTAGACTAGTAACAGGTAGATATAACAGAGCCAGGTTTAGAACAGTAACAGGTAGATATAACAGAGCCAGGTTTAGACTACAGGCCCCTCCCTACGTTGCGCAAACCGCGCGCGCCCGCCCCGTTTGGGAAAGCTCCCCCACGTTTCAATCGTTCCGCCCCGATTAAATTCCACCACAATAAAAGTTTGACAGCGCGGGAATCGATCGTCAAGAATTCCCATTCGAACATGCCCCCGGACGCGTGTATTTTTACGGTACCACTAATGCGTAAACCTCCTACACTACGCATGCACTGCAGACCACAAACAAGTACAAACAGTCAACCTGTCCCAAACCCTAACACTAAGTGTAAACCGACTCGGCTATCCTATATACAAGTACCCCAAATACCGTCTATGGTGTGGTGGCGATTTTACGCATTACGGTAAAAAACACGCCCCCTAGTTTCCCCCCTAGTTTCCCCTCCCCCTCCCCCTGTTTCAATTTCATCCTGGGGAGTGGGGAGAACCCTGGACTAGTAACAGGTAGATAAAACAGAGCCAGGTTTAGACTAGTAACAGGTAGATATAATGAGCACCGCAGTCAATCATCACCTCATCTATATTTCGTAGCCACTTTGCGATGTTGTCGAAGGTTTTCGGAGATGTGATGTCGTAGACTAACATGATGCCCATGGCACCTCTGTAGTATGAAGTTGTGATTGTGTGGAAGCGCTCCTGGCCTGCTGTATCCCTGCAGAAACACAAATGCCACCATCACTCACGACATTCCACACAGCCGTAGACCGTATTCATTTATTCAGCTTAATGATAGCTAATAATAAACTAGACATTTGATAACTGCAGGCAGGAAAGGGGAATGTTCGTGTGAAGTCAAAGAGAAAGAAAACGCCTGAGTTGAGATAACTTTTATGCTGGCTTAGACTGTATAATTACACCTGGGGAAATGGGGAGAGAGGTTGGATGCAAGGAAAGAAATTGAAGTAGACTGAAGTGGAAAGGATAACACGAGGCATTGGATATATGTGAATTTAAATCAGAGTGAAACAGAAGAACTCGCTTCCTCTAGAAATAGTGTGATCTTGATGTCTCAATGATAAAAAAAATTAGAGATGAGAAAGAATGAAGCTGCAAGAAATCAAAATTATCACATATGATGCACTGCTTTTTGAAGAAAAGGGGATGGAAAATAAAACCCTGTATAGATTGCAACCGGTTGCCTTCCATTATGAGACTAGGTTTCTACCACTGAATGAAAAAACTATGTAGTCTGTGCAGAGGAGATCCAGTGAGCACCCAGGAAGTTTGTACTAGAGTGACCTAGATATCAAAGCCACAGTAATAGTGTTTTTTATAGTCTATTAGTGGAATAAATATGGCACAAATTATAAATGAACTTCAAGTTCAAGCGGAGTAAAATTATTCTGTGGTTATGGAAAAACAAAAACCTAGAAGCTAATGTTAGGCAAGATGAGCAACAGAGGAAGGAAAGGGGCAATAGCTACAGAGATTTCTCATAATCTCCCTTCTCAATTTTTTCCTTATGGCAGCTCATGCATGTGACAAAGGAGAGGAGGAGCTCGTTTAGAGAGCAAGGCAAATATAATTCAAAATCACAAGATTCGAAAGTGTGTAGTTAATCAAATCAATCATAAAATTCCAAGTGTCTTCCTAGCCACGGCTGTCATTTGCAATAATGATTTTGATTTGATATTGCTTTCTTCAATCGAATATTCAAAGTTTCCTGCGCGTGTATGTATACAAAATTTACGAGGCAAAACGGTGGTGTTCGCTCTAGCCAATATGGTTGATGACTGATCGATAGAACAACGAACCCACTAGAGGTACAAAGTCACTGTACGCATACACACACCTACCTCACTAACTCACTCCCGGCAACAAAAATATCTATAGCTAACCACCGTCCGCAGCCCAGCAGCTCGCTGAGATTAAGAACTTAAGCTTCCCGCTGACCGGTAGCGGAGCAAACTAGGAACATGACTTTATACGAAAAACGGTCAAACTGCCTGCAGCCGTGCACGTGCGCGCTACAAGCGAATTCTAGCATGTACGGTATTATTTCACAGCTAAAAATACGCCCCCATCGCGTTCTGCTACAGTCGGCCATGCAGTGCTGAGCACTTGCTTTTACGAGCACACAGTGAGAAGGCTAGCAAGATAGCACCTAGACCCTAGGGACCCTAGAACCCTAACCCTAGACCCTAACCCTAGACAAACCTAGATCCAGATAGCAACTGTGGCCGCACCCACGCGCCACATCTCCCCCCCCCCACCTCCCCGACAAGTAAAGGAGTGGTGGTGGTGACACGTGGCGCTCGCCCACATTATCTTATTTGCGTGACACCGTCATTGGCTGCCTACCGTTTACCGACACTGAGACAACAAGTTAGAGGATGTGTGATGCATGGTACTCTATAGACTTTGATCTGAAAATCACTTATATACCCTTAATACGTCCGCTCAACAACCTACGGCACATAGAGAGCCTGCAGAATTCCGTGTTTACTTGCACGTGTTTGTGCTCCATGTCGTATTGCCTGAGAACTTGCAAGTCTCACAGTAAACAGCCAAGATAATGACTGACGACCTATTTCGCTAGCAAGTAGAAACACCTGCTGCAGATGTGACCTGCCTACGTTATGAGTGTATGGCCGCACACACACACACACACACACACACACACACACACACACACACACACACACACACACACACACACACACACAACACACACACACACACACACACACACACACACACACACACACACACACACACACACACAGAGAACACCTTTCATGTTTTACTGATTAACAAACAACGCGTAATGCGTGTGCTACTGTACTGGATATTCTGAGATTACTTTACGAGTGATGATTCAGTCTATGATGTTGCTCTGAGGTTACGCAACCCCCTCACAAACAAAGTGATGTGCACGCACTGTACAGTAATGTACAGTACAGTACAGTACTGTACAGTAATGCCCTACCACCCCTGCAACACGGAAGTAATGCGTCCCAGATTAAAAAACCTTCGTAAAGCGAAATTTTCCGACGTGACTCGTTTTTCCGATTGACGCCCATTATATAATTGGAGATGCATTCCTACGGAAAATGCTTCGACCAAATGACGTTATATGAGCAAAATTATGAATGCGAGTAGGTATTCTCAAATGCACACATTCCTTATTAAATGATGTATCACACTAGCACGATGAGATAGAAACGGAATTTAGAATACGAATTACTGGGAGAGACGCTATTACTGGCCTGCTCACCATGGTATACACCCATCTATATATATTATATTATATATAATTCTCAGGTTTAGATGCTTCAGGCTCTAACAAGTTACAAAAACTTTGTTGCAATGCATGTGAACCAGGTAGACTATGTACTTGGAGCACGTTGCAAGTACGGTGATTGCAGGAATAAAAACATTCCATACAAGCTACTGGTGTTTCATCTCTGTAGGAAAACTATCTAACAAGCTACTGGCACATATATCACAGCTCTGTCTTGTCAGACTGGCTGCATGTATTTCATTAAACTTGATGATATTGATAACGATTGAGTATGCAACATTTCTGGATAGAAAGCTCATTCTATTGAAAAATTCCACAACCGAAAATTTACATTTCATATCTCAAGTGTATTATTTATAATTTACATCCACACAGACGAATTTCTGTAACATGAGCTTCTATGATGCAGGGTTGTACTGTACATGTAGAAGAATTTTTGGAAAGGAATGAAGTTATACCAGCAACACTTTTACGTTCACTCAACAATTTCAATTAAGACTTACCATATTTGTAGCTTTATTTTCTTCCCGTGTAATTCAATAGTCTTGATTTTGAAATCTATTCCTGTAAAAGATTCAAAATAAGGTACATGATAACATTCCGACCATGGGTATTTATTTAAACTATGGATACATACACAGCCGATAACTGCTATAACAAACATTTGACCTTAGTACCAGGAGTACATTTCACTTCCTCCGAATTGCATCCGACTGATGCCTGGTCGTCGTTGAACAAACAACTGATGCACACACTTTTGAGAAATAGGAGAAATACGTTTATTAATTAATAATGTGCATACTGTGTGGTTGATTATTCTATTGCACTAGAATGTTTACTGGTCTGGCTGCAGTAATGTCATCATCAGACAAAAGTGAAATGTTTTAATAACCAGCACAGTCATACAGCGTAATGGCCGGGCAAAATCTCTTATGTAGTAAAAATAAAAGATAATACCCAGTAGCACATACATGTAGATATATATACTACCTTTTATGCAGTAAGTATCAAATACATTATCAAGTGCTAGACTAATGTAATATGACAGTGTAAAGAAGAATGGGTCAAGAAATTTGAATTGAATGCTACTTAGGATTGCCAATCCTCTTCCTCATAAACATTTAAATGACCACCAACCTATATATATATATATATATATATAGAAAAGAAATCTGTCTACACACGCAACTTTCGTGGGTTTCCATGAGCGACCCTTATACAGACTTGACTGCATGTGAATGAAACAACACTACATGGCGCCCACAAGGTATCATATATTGTGTGTTCACCTGATTACTACTAGGTCACTATGATGCTGGTGAAGATGGGTGAGATAAAAGGCCACGTTTACTTCAGTAGAGGTTTTACAGCACCTTAACCTTGTGATGGAATGCTTACAACACTGAATAAAAAATGGAAATGGCTCTACCCTGACGCTGTCATGCGTACGGTAGGAGTTTTTTGCATCGATGCTTTGGCCATGTGTCTCTTTTGCTACCTGAGATGAATAAAGAGCTGGCACCCATTCGTAAATAGAAACCTTGAGCACTCTTACTTTCTGAGTAACAGTCTTTGCAGTCTAGAAATGCCCCTTGGGGGCAAATAGGAGACATTCCAACCAAAAAATCAATTATGCGCGCACACTTCCCACCCAGCCACTCGCTCCAATCATTGACACACACGACAACGTCTGGAAAGGCAGAGAACGAGCAATTCTCACTGGCTATACACTTGCTGAATGCCATAAACTCACCCTAGCTGAAAGGCTCCTACCTGTTGCCCGCTCTGCACAACACCCTCACCGTGCTTGTACGAGGGATTGTATGTTTGTGTGAGGTGTGGTGGGAGTGGGGGTGAATGACTCACCACACTACCATTGCATGTGGTGAATCTTACACGATGCAGACAAACGTATGTTTGTGTCTATATATATACGATTGCGTGCGAGTACCAGCGCACAAACGTGTGTGGTGTATTGTGCGTGCATGCGTGCGCGTGCGTGTGCGTGAGTGTATGTGTACAACTCTGCAGCAACAAGGGATGTACAACAGTATTTTAAAATCTGCATTTAACGTTCATACCATACTGGATAGAACTGATGCCCAAAAATCCAATGATTGCATTTCTCTTGTTCCCATCAGCCATAGAATGAATGCATGCTGACATGCATGCCAAAGACTACAGCAAGCCTAAAGCAATTATTAATCGGGAAACAACAGTACATGTAGGAAGCTTCCTTAGATACACCAATGATTCTCGAAGGGTGGGAAACTGTCTAATGGGATAGCAGAACATTTCACAGTTGGGCCGAACTACATTTTGGAAGCTGGCTGCATATGTATTAGATTATTCTACTTAATGGTGAATAACTACTCCACTCATTCTTTTTAAAGCATTTCATTTCATGAGTTTATTTTCCCAAGTTTAGCAGTACTTAATAAATTAAAAATTCCTTTGTCATGAATAAAATTCCATACCCAGAGTTTCCATGATGACAGGTACTACTGTATTTATCTTTATCAATCATGCATTAAAAATGCTTTGAAAAAGTAAATATCCTCGATAACCCTCCAACTCCAACCCAACCCCAACTTGCTGAAGTGTCTTAAAATTCCCGATAAAACCAAATGCATGGCAAGATGATAAATGCCTGGTTAGATGAACAATAACTAGAGTCATTCTACAAGCTATAGCCGACAGAGGTAAAATCCAATGCAAATGACCTTCCTGATCTGTGCTACGTGCACTCACTGATGCGTTCTCACAGATTTGTGGGGGTCTGAAATTGCCAAAGGCAGGCAAAAACAGAACTGTGGAGTAAGTGACTCACTAATTCAAAAGTGCTAAGAATGGACTACACACCTTATAATTAGTCATATGAATAGCACAGAAACTGTAAACGTTAACATGTCTGTACATGACTACTGGGATCATACCAGAAACCACTATTGACACAATTATCACCCACATCTATGACTGTGTGATTTATTGAAAGTGTGTGTGTGGGGGGGGGGGTACCTAGTTTCGCAATGTAACCGATTATGAAACAAACTTCATGCAGTAAACTATGGATTATTGTTCAACATGTACTAGTAGTTGTGTTAATTTTAAGCACAATGTGTCTGCTGCTTACTTACTCACTTACTTACTTAGTTAAGACTGCCTGACGTGAGACCACATATTAAACACTACAGCAATTTTAAAACTATCATCATATGTAAGGATCACAATGATGGTATAAAGTTAAACTCAAGGTTTGAAAACTTGAGGATTTTTTTAATAGGTACAAGCTTTTTTAATAGGTAGTAGCTTGGAGATCGGTCCAAATTTCATGATCGATCATCGGTTTTACAAAACAACCGGTGATCGATTAATCATCGATCATTCTAGATTGCGGCGACGACTCGGTGACGCCGCGTCATCGTCGACACAACCGGTGTATTGCGAAGGAGTATTGACATTATTGTATGTGTAGCTAGTATTTAATGGTAAGTAAATTAAGGATACTGTTGGCATGATTGTATGTGTAGCTAGTATTTAATGGTAAGTAAATTAAGGATACTGTTAGGGTTACGGACGGGTAACACTCTAAAGGACATTGCAACATAACTGCTCATCAAATTCAATCAAACTCATATCCATTACATAAGAGAGATGTCTATCTATGCTATCGATAAAAAATTTTCATTAAAAATTCATCGCTAATTAAGTGACGGCAAAAATTGTGAATTTATACAAAAATTCTTTTTTTGTCATTTCTCAGAAACAGCAGAGTTGGGACCTAAACTTTTAACCATAAGTAGTTCATAATATGAACAAAAAAAGGCTCCCGGAATTTTTAAAAAATGCTTTTATTTAGGAAATAAGTTGAAAAGATGTAGGAAAATTTAGGATTAGACTTGATTTTCAGGAAACAAAGTCGCTTAGTTCCTTGAAAATTTACACTGCACCGTGTTTACTAGTACTTAGTACTATCTATTATTTACCCTGTAGCAAGACCTACATTGGAAAACATATTAAAAGTGATTCGAAATAATTATAGCTATAAAATAACTACACTTATTTTTTCATAATTGTTATTTATTAATATTGGTGTTTGCCGACCATTTTATCAAGGCGCTAAGCGGCATGCAATGTGCGACCAGACTTCATCGGAAATCTCACTTATGATATTTCTGTGTGAATGTGGTGAACTGTCAACATGTATGCGAGTGCACAGGAACTTGAAGCGTTTCAATAAAATATAATGCTAAATAAATACGAAATCTATTTACTACCAAAGTCTTAATGTTTCTCTACTCTCTTTCACCTATTATTGCCGACAATTTCCTGTAAATGTCGTCCAAATGCTTATCTGCAACACACTGTTACACACTGACACATAAATATATAGCAGGTAGGAAAGCGTGCTGCCAAAATTTGCTCGACGCTCGCTTTATTTCATACGAATACAACACAAATATTCAATCATTCTGCTCCATCTTTATTTCTATTTGAAGAACAGTGTTCACCTGTTATAAAAACATACTATCTGTGTTCGTAACCGAGCTGTGTCATGCGAAATCACACAAAGCCTGACGAAATTCTCGCGTTCGCTTCCGTTGCGCAGTTTATGTAAATGGCTGCAAGTACAAGGCTATAGGCGGCGCTGCATTTTGGGAAACTACCACGCTGCTTTCCAACTCCCGTACGAGCCCCGTCAAAGCCGCAAGTGGAGCGTTGCAAAAACGTTGCAGCGTTGCGGCGCAAAAATGTGGTCACGAAGAGCGCCGGTGGGTGTTTTCTGATTCTGACAGCCATTTCCATAAACTGCGCAATGGGAGCGAACGCGAGAATTTCGTCAGGCTTTGTGTGATTTTGCGTGACACAGCTCGGTTACGAATACAGACAGTATATTTTATAACAAGTGAACACTGTTCTTCAAATAGAAACAAAGATGGAGTAGAATGGTTAAATATTTGTGTTGTATTCGTATTAAATCAAGCGAGCGTCGAGCGATTTTTGGCAGCACGCTTTCCTACCTGCTATATATATATATTTATGTGTCATTGTGCAGCAGCTAGCGTGCGGCGTACTTTTGTGTTGCAGATGAGCATTTGACCGGCATTTATTATAGTGATTATAGGCGATTATAGGTGATTATAGGCGAAATAGAGTAGAGAAACATTAAGACTTTGGTAGTAAATACATTTCGTGTTTACCTTTTTTTCTTTTTATTGAGACGTTCCAAGTGCCTGTGACTATGTGCGAGTGCTCATACATTTTCGCACCAACAGCCCATACACACGTACGCACATACTTACGCAACTCTACAACGTTTTAATTTTCTAAGTAGCAAAACAAGCTGGCCCCGAAGCTTGAAAGTAGGACTAGTAGGAGTACTTAGTAGGAAACATGAGGATTTTAGGAAATCTGGTGGAGAGCTGTGTTAGTAACAAATTACAATGGCATGCCTTACACAAAGTTGCAATACATGCAACGGCAAATAACGTTTATTTCTTTTGTTCGCGCTTAATTACACATCACAACTTACCTATTGTTGAGATAAATGTTGTGTTGAAAGCATCATCTGAAAACCTGAACAAAATACAAGTTTTGCCAACACCACTATCTCCGATTAGCAACAGTTTAAACAGCAAATCATAAGTCTTTTTCGCCATCTTCAAAATCCGAGAGAACGCAAATCGTGATGCCTTCACTCAAACTTCAGTCCCTTCGATAGCGAATATGGAACAACGACGAAGCTCTAATTTTAATTTTACCAACACACTAGACGTTATAATATCCAGAGGTTATAACCTTAAGAAATAATTTCGTCCCAAACACACAGGGACGTCCAAAACGTTGAGAAATGTAAAATAAACTCAACAGATAAGGTAATCGTCTAGACGTCACGTGAACGGAGGTGAGGTCACCAAACGTCACGCCCAATAAAGTTCCGGTACACAGGTCACACAACTACCGTCATGGAGGCGCCCACGTTTACAAGAATTCTGGCAGCTTTCGTTATTTTATGTCTGCTTGAAATAACAACTCTGACAGGAGGAGATATCATAGACGAAAATGAAGTAGTCGAAGAAGCCGATGAATTTGATGTATATCCTGGAGGCGAGGTGCACACGTTTGAACAAGAAAAAGAAGGCGTAAGGTGCAAATTCACATACTCTGCTCAGGGAGGAACAAACGAAAAATGGCTGTTCGTGATATCACACACACCGGACAAGAAAAGGTTTCACTGCACCGTAGAACGACCAGATGGTAATTCCTACTTGTTCTTTATGACGTTTTCGCTCAGTGTCGAAGGTGCGACGTTGGAGGAGGCAAATGTCGCTGGCAAGAACTTTGAAGCTCTCGGTAAAGAACAGTACATCATTAATGGCAACGAAGTGAAACACAGCAGTACATTCCAGAGTGGTCTCAGTTCAGTGCTTATCACAGCCAAAGGAGTGATATCAGAGGAACTTTGAATGTCATGCTGAAGAGAGTGGGACAATATGGCCATGTTTGATGAAAATAGCAATAAGAACAGCAATTTAACCTTGTGTTAGGAAAAATTTAACGTTTTATTCACGTTAAAACGTCACTACAATCATCATACACAAGATGGAAAGCACGTGGCTGGCAAAATTTTCTGTATATTAATATATTTTTTATATATCACTACTCCAACAACTCACCTTTCATATAAATAACATTGTGATGGGGTTTCTGTGGTTTAGAAGTAATTTTCTTGCTGTTTTGATGTATTTTAAATAAACGTGTGATCTTTTTGCCTCAGTGTCTCATGCATTATATGCAAAGATTCTAAGTGTTGCACACTGGCACAGTTTTGCGAAACAACATTGTTCAAACTTCGAAAATAGTAGGCTAGCTAATAAATTTATTGTTTTGGTGATGTGAGCAATGTACATCTCAAGTTCATGGTATACAGCTTGTTTTGGTGTTGAGTGAGTTTTCAATTTCATTATAACATAACTGGGCAATAAAAGCACAAAATACTGCAAGTTTGTTTCATCTATGTATAGTGTCAAATTGCAAATCTACAGATGCATACTTAATTGCTTTCTAATATTACAGACATGAGAACCTGTGGATCTGTGCAATTCAGTGGTCTTGGTTTTCAATTTTATCATTATTGAAGCAATGCAAATCTTTTGTGAAGAAATTGGCAGGATATTATATTTAGTATAGTATGCCAGGTTCAAAATCAATGCGAGTTTAAAACGTTCTGAGTGTACTGTCAATCAAACTGTCACAAGGCCAATCACATTGAAAATAATTTCAGTTTAATTTGATGCATTTTTTAATGTCAGCAGTACAATAAAGTACTCATTTTATGTTAATTTGTTAAAAGTCACCAAATCTTTAAAACCATACGGTTTCATGGAGCAAAGCTACAAGAAACTAGGATTTTAAAGATAAGATTATACAAGACCAGACCATTACTCCACTTGTATTACACAGTGACCAGGGCTGTGATGCAAACTATGAAGGGTTGGCAATGTCTCAACTTCCTATACTCACACCTGATTAAACAGAAGTAATAGAAATGCAATTAGTCCACTTCATTTTGTTTATTCAAGCACTTTATAAGCTTTGGGGGCACAATCACATAACTTCTCGCTATGATCAGACGTTTTATGCTACACGAGATTTATACAGTGTGAACAAATGATAGATCAAAACGTTGGAGAAGATAAAATGTAATTGAAGACTGTTTTATACAAAATTCACAAATTTCCAGCAAGTCTTGTGGCTAAAATATGTGCCCATTTCCTTTGCCAAGTAATAACATAGGAAAGATGTTGCTTACAACTGGTCTGATGTCATAAGCTTCGGACCTCGTGAGAGTAAGGATGCCAGTATTGTATGAGAATGCAAGAGACTACAGAAGACAATGTCATTCATGCTATTGATGAAGAAAGTGCATGCGGTTGTACAGTGGACCTACCGACATGGTAGGAGTAGATAAAAAGACATTGTTATATTGGAATAAATATAAAATGTTAAGACAAATTTGGAATGAAAACCCTACATTTGCATACCCCAAGGTATAAGCCTGGTTTTGTGTAGAAATCGCTATCAAGAAGCTGGTCACTGGATGTGTCTAAATGGTTGAGAATTCCAACACAAGATGCTAAGCCACAAAGGGATTGCAATAACACTATTGATCTCATTCAAACAACAATATTGTACACGTTCTTCCAAGATTTCAGTCAAGGCAACACCACACCAGTTTTTGCTATCTTGGTAAACAATTCACGCCGGCTAATTCCTCTGACTTACAATGTTGTTGTTTAACGATAGTTTAACGTTTCGCCCTTTTCATTTGCTACCCATAACTAATTGCTTAGATTTTATGCCAATTAGGCGGCAAACTTAACTGGTTACAAATAGCAACCACCCACGTCGAAGTAAAAAAATTCTCCTGCATGATACACCTGATACCTATTATAAACCCACCTGAGCACACACCAACAAAAGAGCATGGGACTGGAGCAGTGTCTGTTACATCAAAACGTGGCTCTACCAAAACTGCAACTGCAAGAAGTGGAATTTAATAACAAAGCGCCAACCATAGTTCATTAACCACTGGTTACCTGGCAAGACTCCTGCTCGAATCCCAACACCCAGGCATTCATTACACAAGCAAAGCAATGTATACGACATATGCATACTATCATACAGAAATACTACACGACTGCCTTTGACACCTTTCCCAGTTGTCAGCCCAGAGCAGGTGTTAGCAACACTGGGTAAGGTGGCAGTCTATGCAATTAAATTACATCGTGTTTCATGCAGCCTCACTCTTGAGAGACGACAACCTCAAATAGTTGCGCAGGTTACTAGGCTAAATTATATCAAAATGCGCTCTTAGGCATCACAGTTGTTTAAAGTGGTAGAAAATATGCGCCGCACATGCCCTCTACTGGAATGCTGTGCTAGGGGGCCGATGAGCACTACACAGGCCAAGATAAATACAACCGTTATTGGCCCTTGCCAAGCACATACGTGATACCACATCCAACGAGATGGGGAACACGTATGATGCTGGCACACAGCAGTTCCAGAGGGAGGAGGAAATGGGCACAGGGCACAACACGCAATAACACTGCATTCTTATCATAGAATCTCTCACCCACCTCACCACTTTCTTACATGTTTAATTTAAGTATCCTCTCACAATAATTAGTGCCACACTTTCAATCACATTTTCACACCATACCTCTCAGAATTTTATATATTTGCACAAAACATTCACGTCACTTTTGTACAAAAAACAAGAGTGAGACTGCAATTTTCAAAAAAATAAACAATTATTATCAATGTTTTATAGTTGCCATAGTAATGACTTGTTTACCATAGCAACTCTTGCCACTGTCAGGTTTCCAAACTACAACTAGTAGGCTGGATATTGTTTATTCCCCTTTATTTTCCTAACATTACTGTTAGCTATATATATATACACACACGCACATGCATACACACATTCATGCACACTTCACTGTAACACAAGTCCAGTACAAGAACTATTCCAGGCAGTTTGGCAGATTGATAACTTTCATGCCAGTTAGGTCCAGAGAGACCCAACAGACAACACAGCCAGCATGTATCTCTATATGAAAGTTTGTTGTGCATTTTGTAGCTACATTTTAAATTTGCAACACACATCGGATGATAGCATGCACATATAAAACATTGACGGGCTGGAAGGTTACACCACACTATGCCCTCATTTGACAGCAAAGCCTTCAAGTATTAATACGACGTATATTCGGTTAGAATGCTAACATCGAAGGATATTTTCGGTGAAACTTTTCAAAGAATAAAACATATCCTCAGAAGACATCATATTTTAACTTGGTGTAATCTTCGCTTTACTGAGCGGCTGTGCTCACTGATGCTGACCAACACCTTGAGGTAGATTACCGCCTACTTCGCAACATTTATCGTCAGGTAATAACGTGTGAGAAGCGACCGTGAGAAGCTGCATGCCTACCAGTAGACTACAACTCATCGAAGATGAGTTGGGATGGAAGTTAGGCGATATATTGGTGGGATGGTGATGCAGCACGACTGTGATCGGCTGTAACAGGCTGATTTCCCATGTATCTTGTCGGGTCTCTCCTGGCCGATTGTAAAAACTCCACAAACAAACTTTCCTCCTCGCTCACTTCCTTGCCGTTCGCCGTACAGCCCTCTTTATCTTGCGAGCAGCCACGCCGGATTGCTGAGTGGGACCCGCACTGAATTACAAATAGCACAAGTTAAGTAAGGATGCACGTTGCCAAACTTGCACAATAATACAGTGTCATGTCATGTCATGTCCAGTGTCATGTCATGTATGGTGTGTGTGTGTGTGTGTGTGTGGTGTGTGCGTGCGTGCGTGCGTGCGTGTGTGTGATGTGTTGTATTAATACAGTGTCAAACTTGCTAAGTATTACACGAGTAACATCACATCATAATTAAGACAGCGAGGATTGATACACACGCAATGTCTAAAACTAGAGCAACTGGTTCCAGATTCTAAATGTGTTAAAAAAATTCTGGGGGAGGGGAGATTCTTATTTCCTATAATGATAAAAAATTTTCCCACGTGTTAGCAATCAATTGCGAACCTTACTAACTGTAACCTCTTGATTAAGGCCCAGCAGCATTGAAAGGTTCATCGTGATTGGGTTCATAAATTTCCCGATTCTAGGTCCAGGTTTACATTATTCAGTTATTGTTGTATAACAGTCCCTTGTGGCAGCTTGAGTGCAGTTTGGAGTCAGACCTAATGAATATCTACAAAATTGACAGAGGGTCACCTGAAGTTAAATGTAGGGTTTGGTCCACCAAAATTGAAACCGCCTCCTCCTGCTGCTGCTCCTGCTCCGGCTCCAGGGGCTGAAGACTGGCTGAAGTCGAATCCAGCACTCGGTGCCGGTGCTGGGGCAGCCGCTGCCGCTTGATTGAATGCGAACGGGGCTGCTGCAGGCTGGTGTCAAAACAAATAAACCCACGTAAAAAGTTAGGCATCATACTATATTACATATTTATTTAAAATGCATTGCATCGTCTCATGTGCTTATAAATTTTTAACTTGACTTTGAGTTCTCTGCTAATATTGTGGTAACCGTTGTGCAGAAATATTGTTTTTTTTCCTCTACCAGGGAAAACCATTATTTCTTTACTTAGAAAGGTCTGGTTATAGTTATCAATATAACTCTATCATCTATATATCTATATATATATATATATATCACATACCTGAGCCGTCGCTCCAAACTGCAGATTAGGCACTGCATTAAAGTTGAATCCACCACCAGCAGCACTTCCAAATGACGGTGGAGACGTCACTGCACTGCTACCAAATGCAGGTGCAGGTGCTGCTGCTGGTGCTGCAGGTGTGTTAAACGCTGCTGTGGAACCTGAAGAAGGTTACATACCATATCTACTGTCAGGCCAGACCATCTGGTTTAACCTGCAGTCATGCAGCCTTGCCTAGACTAATGAGTGCTTAATCTTGAATATACATAATACGTGTAAAGTTTGAAGACTGCTGCAACTCTCACCAATAATAAGTTCAGTTGAAGAACACTAACAAAGCCCCCTAACGGCAGACTAACGCGCTACACATAGCAGCGAAAATTACCGAACGTGGGGGCGGTAGAGCCGAATGCTGGAGTGGAAGCGGCTGATGACCCTGCACCAAACGCGGGCGTGGTCGAGCCAAAGCCCGGGGGCTGCCTCGACGAAGGAAAGGTGGGGGCCGTAGGTGCACCAAACACGAAGCTTGACGTGGGTGCTTGAGCTTGTGTGGTTGCTGCACAATAGAGAAGTGGTACGCTAAGTAAAGTAACGACTAATTATAGGAATGACAATAGGCAGTACATTGCCACTACTCTATATTTGACACTGCACACTGCATTACACATCTGCTATATTATTTGACCTACCGTTAAAGGCAAATGAGGCACTAGACGGCGCGGTGGTTGATGTAGGTTGTCCAAAAGCGAGAGGAGCAGCAGCACTTGTTGTGGCACTCTGTCCAAATGCCAGAGGAGCAGCTGAACTTGTTGAGGTACCTTGCCCAAAAGCCAAGGGGGTAACAGCACTAGTTGTAGCAGCTTGCCCAAAAGCCAAGGTAGTAGCGACACTTGTTGTCGTACTCTGCCCAAAGGAGAGGGGGTTGGAAGCCGCTGTGGGAACAGCATTGAATTGGAATGTCTTCTTTCCTCCTGCAGCACCTTCCGTATCTGAGAGAAACCAATATCTCAGTTGAAAAGAAGCCAAATAAGCTCACATATAACCGTATAATACAACATATAAACAATATAATCATACTTAAGCACGTATCAATCACGCACATAGCAGTGCGACTTCTGTGAATGATACTAAATGCCAGTCGTGGACTCTCGAGCATATGATACTTACCATCGTTTTGCCTCTTTGAGGATGGTGAGGGTACAAAGCCTGTATTGGGTTTCACCGTCGCCGACTGTCCAAACGAAAACACCGGCTGGGTAGGAGCTACTGCTGCTGCCGGCTGCCCAAACGCAAACGACTGCTTGCTGCTGTCGGCGGACTGTCCAAACATGAAGCCGCCTGATTTGCTAACTTGTGGCGCGGCCGCGGCCGCCGCGCTAGATCCCTGCGTGCTAGCTGACTTCTCAAAGCCAAAAGCAGACTTGTCCGTCTTGCCGCCGGCCTCCGCTGGCTTACCAAAGGTGAAGCTGGGCTTGTTATCGGCTGACGACGTAGTGTTCGTACCGGAGTTCCCAAAAGCAAAGTTCACGGTCGGTTTACTCGCCGACGCCTGGCCGAACACTCCCGACACCAAGGGAATTGCACTGGCCGGTTCTGCCGCATTACCGAAGGAGAAACCGCCCGGCTTAGCGGTGCTAGCACCAGCGAACGCCGCCTTCTCACCGGCTCCAGACGTCGTCACCGCTGCTGCCGGCTTAGCAGCAATCGCGCCGAAGGAATACGTGGCTGCGCTTGCAGATTTAGAGCTGTCGGCACTTGTCGCCACAACGTCCGATTTTTGCGTCGGGGCGACCGAAAACAGGGTCGCCTTCTGGGTCTCCGTCGCAGCAAAGTCAAACTTAACTGCAGCGGGAGTCGCTGCAGGGACGGCAGACGCTCCTCCCGGAGCGTCGACCACTACAGGGTTATTGCCAAAACTGAAGCCTCCTGGTTTAGTTGGCACGGCAGGCGCCTTATTGTCTTTTTCCGCACCAAATTTGAAACCGCCGACAGCAGGAGCAGCAGCAGTAGATGCGGAGGCAGTCGTCGTCGTCGTCGGCGCACCGAATGTAAACGTCGGCTTGGATACGGACTTCTCATCAACCTTATCGCTGTCTCCTCCCAACGCGAATCCTCCCGAGCCAAACTCGCGCGACGACGGCGACGACGTCGTCAGTTTGAAAGTAGATGCTGCCGCGGGCTCTGCGCTTTTACTGGCACCACCAAACGTGAATCCACCGGCTCCGATCGAGACCGAACTCCCTAAACTCGACGACGGTGCAACTGGAAACGAAAGACGAAATTTTCGTAATAAAATGGCTGCGCTGAAAATTTCACTAGTTTAAAAACCTGCAAACACACAAGATGAATATATATATATATATATATATATATAAATATATTGATATCTATATAGATGTATATCTTATATATGTGTAAATATATATAGATAAGATATTTTTGAACATCTAATGATGCAACAAGCCATTGTCTCAAACATTTCCCTGTAGTCGTTACCTATAGCTTGGCTGCCAGGTCGTGGAGTAGTACAAGCAATGCACTTGCTTGCTTCACCCTTGTTTCTAACCATGCATGTGTCACACTCCCAGTTTCCACTGACTACCTTAAACTTGTCACCAAATCCTAAAAAAGTTAATTGCTTAAATAAAGATTATGCCAGGTGCTTAAAGTTGAAACATTGCAATGTGACCCTAAGCTTTTAGGATGCTAATATTAGATTTCAAGAAGATTACCTGACTTGACACCACTGGCACCTGATTTAGGTGTTTCACAAGCTAAGCACTTGTCAGCCGTGACACTGTTGCTGACCATGCAAACAGAACACGACCAGTTTCCCGTGGGTTGCTTAAATCTGTCGCCGAAACCTGCCAGTGACATAAAAAACACGTGGAGCAGTTAACAACTAAGCAAAACTATACCCCGAATATCGTCTGATCTATAAGAACCAGATTTCTATGTTCTTTCGTCGTCAACTACACGACCGGTTAACATGAACCAATCTACAGAAATTTCACATTGGTGTGGTAGCTTACCAGCGACAGCATCCTCTCGGCCTGACTTCCTGTCCGATCCCGACGCCTCGCGAATATCGTCTCTCTTGTAGCTCACCGGTGAAAACCCGCTAGAACTGGTAGATGCCGTGCCACCTCCAGGTTTCTGTGTCTGACATGCGACACACCTTGCATCAGAGTTCTTGTTGTTGATCAAGCAGGTCGGACAAGGCCAGCTGTCGGCTGCTGGCTTGAACTGCGACGACCACCCAGCGTTCCTGGCGCCCTCTGTGGTGGTATTGGTATCCGGCACAGCGCTGGCGACCGGCTTGGCAGTCTTGCAGGCAGCACACTCGCTGTCCTTCTCCTTGTTGTTAATCAAGCAAGTGGGGCAGCTCCAACTGTTGGTCGTCTTGAACGCTTTGGCAGAGAGTGGCACAGTCCGCCCACCTGTGAAAACACGTAGCAAAATAATACCTCGAATAAACACGAAAAGAAATGATTTTACGAAAATGTGAAGCAACGTTAAGTGATGAGTTTAATGACAGCCATTGAGAATTATACCATTTCCTAGAATGTCCATCACACTGCCTCTCATTAGTTCTGCTGCTGGCTTCAGTGCCCCGCTTTCATTATCCACATCCTGCTGTGCAGGGCTCATACCACGCTTGCCTAGAGCCTCCAAGACACTCCCAGATTTCAAGACACCTAGACAAACAGAGAACGTCGACTTGAAAATCTTGCGTGCGCACCTGCAGTCGTTACTTCACATTTAAACAGATAGGAACGTTCGGGGTAAGTTGTGTGGCGCTGGGTATGGCGACAGTGCTGCTGCTGCGTACTTACCTGCCACTGGTGAGGTGTCTGACTTTGTGCTTGGAGCAGACGATGATGGGCTGACAAACTGAAAGCCTGATTTGTCACTCGATCTCCTGGAGCCAGTTCCGAACTGGAATGTATGTTCAGGTGTTTCCTTCTTCGCGTCTTCTGTCGTGACTGAGACAGGTGAGCTGAACTTAAACATGCCCTACGAAGAGATAACATCGATCATCACCTGTCCACAGTGCCGATGCAAACATAGTTGAAAAATGACAACGGCTTATCCAAAGTGCTCCCGAAAGTTCCAAGGTTAACCAAATTACGCGGAATCCCCTTTTGAAGACAATGAACACTGACCTGATTTCCTTCCCCTCTTAGGTTTTTGCTGACAGGTGCTTGCTGGATGGGACTGGAGAAGGTAAACTTCTGTGGCCTTAAACCAGCAGACGTGACTGCATTCTGTTCCGCAGGATTGTCAGATCGAACTTTTCTCGAGTGAGAGACAGGTGTAGCAGAACTCTCGACTGGTAGGATGGGCGTTGAAAAGTTAAACTGTGGCATGCTGTTGAGCTCCAGTCCAATGTTTTGTGAGAAGTCTGGTGTTTCCACATCCTTAAATAAGGAAAATAAGTGAAATAGCATCCGATTGAACACAATATATAGTAAATCAAGTTAAATTATTATTGACATGTCCTTGTACGTGTGTGTTTCGCGATAACTCACTGATAATTCTAGAACTACGAATACACGTGAACAAAATGTGATGAATAGCAAGGTGACTCACCGCTTCTGTCGTCTCCTCGTCCCTCTGCACCGTCGCGTGGTGGCTTGTGCGTGGTCGCTTCATCTTACCACCGGCCGCTCTGCTTTCACATGCCAACCCATCGTCACGCACTGCAGCTTTCGCGGCTTCTGCCTCTCTCTCGGCGGAGGTGTTCTTCAGCAGCAGGCTTCTGCGGTTCGTTGCGATGGACGCCGGCCGGGGAGAGTTCAGCTTTGCAGCAGGCGGTCCCCTCCTCACGTCGATGCTTCGCTTGGAAGGTGTGTGACCATGAAGCCGCAACCTTCGCAGAGTACTGCTAGGCTGCAACACGACACACTGCGTCAGTTTGTTTATCCACGGAATTACAACAATGTTATTATTCACAAATATAGGAAAACTGCGCAATACTGCCGTTATCCATGGTTGTCGATGCAACCGTGTTGCAAGAAAATCAAAACATACAAATTGCGGGTTTCAACTTTATACAGGAAATTATCTAGATAATTAGAAACATAAAATATTTTTATTAGTTTTATTTACAGTTTCAAAAATTGCTCAAACAAGGAAGTGGGCACTTACAGTATAAGAGAGTGGTGTTAAGGCAGTGGCATCAAGATCATTTGATGGAAGTGGTATTTTCTTGGTATCCTTAAAGAGATAGAAAGAAGAGTGCAAAATTAAGTGACGTTTCTGCAGTATACATCGAAAAGTCTCAAATAAACAATTAAGACAGAAATGCATCAAGAACATCTATAGTTTTAGTTTTTTTAATAATACAAGATTCTCGATTAAACTTACATTCAATGGCGTTGACATTCTCTCTAGGGTGTCAAGGATTTTACGAGCCGTAGAGCTGGTGACCCCGTAACCTGTACCGGTGCTGTTCCTAGCATTCACCTTGATGGCTGATCGTGAAGCAGACTGGCCACACAACAAATGACACTCTATTATTACTCTATTACTCTTCATTAGATTCCCAACACAATATGCTTATAGAAAAATTCAGTAATAGAAAAACGATTACAAAATCATTTGAGTGTAGGAACTATGTTCGCATTTATATAAAACATGCAGGCACCGTTCAACAACCTACAAAATACAGTACAAAACAGTAGTAACTGTGCACACTAGGACCACACATAGGCACATAGGACAATGAAGTCTGTATGAACGCAGACAAGTCAACTGGATAGTCTCTAATTTACCGAGAGTTATAGGAGACAATCACTGAGACTACTTACAATACTCACAGCAGCTTATCATCAACAAGTTACCTTACACTTACAGCATCAAATAGTGGTCATACAACAAACAACAAACAGTTACATTTCCCTAGTACCTGGTAAGGATCCGACACAAGCTTTCCTCTTCTAAATGTGGAAGCACCACCATATGACGTTTTTCCAGGATAGAACGGTGATTCTAGAACCCCAGTTCCATACATTGACACCGGGTCCCTCTGAAAAACGACAAGTACCAAACTAGATTTGTTATGCGAGATTATATGAAGTGTAATATAATGTGAAGTGTTTCTGCATTGAAATGAAGTACCAAACATAGTATCAGTGGTCAGCAGGAATGCATAAATGTTACATTTAGTGAGTTTTACTGATTCATGTTAATGTTTCATCCTGTACTGGACAGATTTTATACAGGGCTCGAATTAAGCGACGAGAAGGGCAAGGCAATTTTTTTAGGGCATGTGAGAAATCGCCTTAAATTTTCTCTAAAATGGAAGGGCACAGAGGCAATTTTAAAAGGCACCAAGGCAACTCTCAAAATTTGAGAAGGGCACCAAGGCACTTTTGTAAAATAAAGGAAAACTCATAACAAATTAGTACATCAACATCGTCTTGCTTTTAATGTACAAAACAATATGCCCCCATGTAAGCTTACACCGTAACACTGACCCCTGTACCCCCCTCTGCTAATGGAAGTACAGTAACAAGAAATTTTACATGCCCGCTATCAGGAGTGAATAATTATCCGATGCTGTTATTATTCCCTCCTGCGACTATCGGTTTCAAGCTCATCATTGCAACTACAGCACGCACGCACGCGCACGTGTTATGTTGATTCGACTAAAAACGAAACTAGGGCAGTAGATTAAAGGGCACCGACGGCAATTACACAAAAAGGCAAGGCAGGTGACTGCTGTCGGTCGAGTTGGATTTTCAGGGGCAGTACGGCAATTGATAGGGGCACCGACGTCAATTGCCGTCGGTGCCGTCGATTAATTCGAGCCCTGGATTTTATATAACACATAGATATATATGGCTCATCTTTAGTAGAGGTTAACTGCACAAGAACATTATGATGTGCTTGTGTTTAAATAGGATGAATTCCACTGTAAATTATAAGAGAAAATGTAAAAATCCAGCGCTGGGTGCAAGGCGGCAGTTTCAAACGTTTTCGCAGGAACACTAGAGTGGTGCCTGGAAGATTGCCGGAACAGATACTAACCCCGACAGCGGAGCCAAAGATGGAAGAGTTGAACGACTGTCTGCGAAAGCTGGTGCTGCTGCTGGCGACAGACTGCGGACGTGACTCACTCAGCTGCGGCATGACCGACCACAGGGACGACTGCCGTGACGATGCATGAGCTGCAAGCAACGCGTCAGCAGATACAACCTCTACTCTTACTCTCACAATCACATCACAGGTTACTATAGTACCGATGCACATCGTTTATGCATCCTACCAATAAAAGCCAACTTACACATTGGAAAAATAGATTTCCCAACTCATTATTCTCATTATTGCTGCTCAGAACATTTTGTGAAATTCATAATCGCCACGAGAAATCGGTGCCGAGGAAACGGCATTCATATTTCGGGACTACCTGTCTCCATGTTGTCAGACACCCTTCTCCCACTGGTGTTAGCGACACTACTAAGGTTTCCTGTAAGCTTCCTCAATGAGTCTCTAGTGAGAGGTAACGACTCAGATAGAGCTGCCTCCATCTTCTCCCTGTCCGGCTTAAGCGAGGAGCAACCACTTGTTGACGCATCAGAGTCTGTCTCACCTGAAGCGAATACAAATAAACATGCTTGTTGCTTGGGCCACTTAGAGACGATTTTGGCCACCGATGCCAACTGTTCCGGCTACACGTTATATAGCTCACGACAGAACTCTATATATTATCATGACTTACGTACCTTCTTCCTCGGCCAAGTCAGACTCTGTCACTCTGTCCGTATCATCCACATTAATAGGTGCCGGCTCAGTTTCCAGTGACGATGCAGGAGCCTGGCCAGCCACCTGGTATTTGTCGCTGTGTGCATATGATCTTACTAGTGGCTCTCCCTTTGATGACGAATACTCAGAGAATGGCAGACTTCTGAATCCGTCACCCGTTACCTGATTCGGATTACCGATCTTTGGTGTTTCAGTGTCTAAATGTCTGTCCAGCCTTAAACTGTGTCTAGCACCGCGAGCCCGCTGGTTTAACACAGGTCCGCAATTGTATGACGTTGGAACGGAGCTAGTGCGTTCATGATCTCGCAATTTTAGCGTTGACCCATTGTCATTGGCAGAACTCTTCAAAAAGCCTCTCCCTTCTCTGAGGGAAGCGATCTGTGTGTCAGCCGGGCTCGAGTATATCCTAGGACGTGATGGTCCATCCATGAGAGATGTACCAAAAGACGGTGATGTCACCTGGTCATCTTGCGCTATCTGATACCCGTGTGGATAGTGGTTGTCTTCTAGCTCCACTATGTCATCTTCTTCGTTATTATCATCGAAAGTGGATCCACTGTAGCCCTCACCAGATAGCCATGAAGGAACCAGCAAGGACTTCACTGTGCTCGTCACCCTCTCCAGTAACGACTGCAATCAACGTTGTTTCATAAGTGCACACTCATTTTAAAACAATATTAGTTCTTATTACATTAATAGAATGTCCAATAAATATTATATTTCTGACACACAGATATAGGACAAATGAAGGTGTAGGTGACCTAGACAATTTTAACAAGTGCCGCAGAGCGACAGTGCTCAACTGACGTGTACTGTAGCCGGGTATTCTACTGATAAACTCACTGGCAACCGAATCAAGTGCGCCCTCCCGCCACCGCGTTGATAGGCTTTGCTATACCGGTAGTACAGTAATAAAGATATAGCTGTGTAACTTTAATGACTTCGCTATATTAACATGTTATCATGGATATGCGTCGAGCGCGAGCGTAGTGGTGGTGGTGGGGGAGGGTTGGGGAATGAGGGCTCTAATAGCAAAAGCAGTTCAGTCCATTGTTAACAGTCGACAAATCCATGTTTAACCCTCCTCTTGAGGGTCAAAAGGTTATCAGACACTTACTCTTCGCACGTGAGTAGAAAGCACATTTCATGGTCCTTTCAATAAAGCCATAAAAATGCTAGGTCACTGCTGAAACAAAAAAGTTTTGCACTCGGTCCATTAGACCATGTCCTCAGAAAATGTCTGATATCTGACCTTTCCCCCACTGCCCTTCGACCTGTGACCTCCAATTTTGCACTGGTGATGGGTTTCCTCCCCATCACACTATACATCGAATTCAGGTTCAAAAAACTACATAATTCATGCTAACCTGTACAGCAAATTTTTGTCATCTAGTGGTGCAGTTTAGAAAATTCTGAAAATTGCACCACCGCAGGAATTCTTCTGACAGACTACTCGCACCTCCAAGTATGTATATATGTTCATTGTTCCACCATGTAATTTCTTACCCATTACATTATATTGTGTTTAAAAACTGTCATGCTCCCGTTTTTATTTATATAGTATTACTAGCACGGGAATGGTTCTACAGTAGAGGTGTAGTGTAACATTATCAACGGCTAGTTAGTAGTTACTAGAACGAAGAACTGTGCGGGGTTTTACCTGTTGTAGGAACCAGATCACTCGTGTGTGCTCAGATAGACACGTGAGATAGTATTAATAGCTTGTGCGTCTTATATGACACACAGATAACTAAGCCGTTAGTGGGTTATGAAAATGAAGTTCAAAAATATTTACATCGTATACGGTATAGTTATATATTTGTAGATGCTAAACATGAATAAGTTCAACTACGAAGTTCAAGTTCAACGATGTTGTTGTTGTTGTTATTCATTAATCCTCCTGTTACACGAGGTCATGGTCACAATGTATACACGCTTGAAAACGTGTTTGAACTGTTTCAACGACTGAATTTCATGCATGCAGTCTGATACGCGCCACATTACGTTGTTACGCTGTACTATCAATGACAAACCTTTGTTCTTTCATAAGGTTTCGGCCCTCTCGTCCTTTTGGCCCGAATTTTCCCTGTACTTTCACGCATCATTCTACTGTCGCCAAAACGGCAAAACAACTACTTAAACTACCGAAATCTCCAACTTTCGTCGGGAAGTTTCATAAACACGAAAATACAGCATGAAACAAGAAAAGATGGCGCTAAAGTTCGGGCATCTGATTGGTTATAAATAAGTCACGTGAAGGAAAGCTTTCACGTGCACTTTTTGCAACATAAAATTTATATAATTTTATCATACTTCCTTTATACTACGTATTACAGAATTATCAATAAACTAGTATCTTTATTTTCATTATAATCCTTTATTTATCGATATGTTCAACACAAGTTTATAAGCAGCTGTCGTCACACCAAACTTGTAGAGGCGCATCATGTGTAGACTGGTACTCGCTCCCACCTCGATTACTCGATAGGGGAGAGGTGGGACCGGGTACCAGTCTACATAATGTGTGGCTCATTTCATGTGTGGCTCATTTCATGATTTCATGTAGGGGCCTATATATATGTTCGACTAAAAAATTAAAATGTTTAGACCAAGTGTTGTAGTTCTATAGTGTAATGTTCAGGTTTGACAAATGTTACATCATCAGTGACGGGTATGCCAAGGCTATCCGTACTTTGCACAAGGACTAGGAGAGCATTTAATTATACAACTGAGAAAATGCCATTCTATGCTGTCGGACGAGGCAGAAATCCCGGAGTTTACAAATTATGGTATTGACTGCATGTTGACTTTTGTTGTGTTGGTATTCATCTCAAATATTGATAACAAGTAGTACTAGCTAGACAAAGGTTTGAACGAATTCGTACTATCTTTATTTCTAGGTCGGACTGCCAAAAGGAAGTATCAAAGGTTAAAGATGCTAGCTACAAGAAATTTGACAGAGAAGTTGATGCCTGGAAATTTGTTAGCGAATGCACAACGGCTGTCACAGAAGTCAGTGCTGGCCATAAGAACGGCACACCTCCGGCTCAAGAAATACAAACTCCAGAAACAGTAGTCATGTACAAGTTAGGTAGCATCAGCGAGCCTCATTCTAATGCAGCTTTGGGTGTTATGGAGCCTGAGGAAGTGGAGATAAATCAAACAGCGCAGTTTATAGGCATCAAACTGCAGAGGTTGGAGCAGCTGTGTAACACTGTCGGCATCAACATAGAGCAGAAGAAAAACCATGATGAATTACTAAAAGCTGTTGAAATGAAAGTCATCATTCAAAATATGCAGTCTGAGCTCAAGCGTTTCACCTCATGTATCAGTTGGTATGTTCTTGTATTATCTAACATAGATAGGCATATGTAGCAAGTGGGAAGGTTGCTTTCTTCACAAACTGATTGGTTCAAGGATATAAGAGCTGTCCCCAATTCATTTTTGCAATGTGTGACATGTGCAAATGTGGACAGCTCTTATATCCTTGGGCCACCTGATCTAAATGGTCCAACACAGTGATCTGTTGAAACCCCTTTCTCAATGAAAAATACTGTCTTCAGTACATGTATTTGTATTTGAATTAAATGCAATAAAGATTTAATAATACTACTAATAATAATCTGGTGCCTGCCAAATAGCACCACCCATTTGATACATGACGACTGACTCCTGGTATTCCCATAACATCAAGGCACAATGTTCGATTACAGCTGGTAATGCGCTATCCCACGTTCCCCTGCATAGTCCAAACTCTGTTGTGACTTACCCCTCAGAAATTTTTACACAGCATTGGCTGATTTTGGAAAAAGGAGATACAGGTGTATTAGCATTTATTGGCTTGAAAGGTCATCTTGGTGTCATATGGTGTGAGTAAACTGCTGTCAATGTCACACTGCCCACAGTCATGCAGGGTTTATGTGCGAATGGTTTAGCCAGCCATTTACCATGTGCTCCAGCATGGGCAGCTGCTGCAGCATCCACGTATTACTGGTAATTCTAGCGCCGCTGTGGTTACATGAATAATCCAACTTGCCAATAATTTTTAAACAGCATTAGTATTGTGTAGTCCCAGCTAGGACAGGCCACAAGTTACGAATAGAAACCCAGAGTGGATGTTCTCAACAATAGGAAAGTTGATGTTCTATCTTACTTACATATCGTTGTTAATGTAAAACATGAAGGTAAATGTTTCAAGTCTGTCATTTCGTAGTGTTGCAGGCAAACCAACACTGACCACGGAGAGGCTTAATCAATTCCCTAACAAGCGGAGACGAGTTGAAAGCTCTAGTTCAGCAGCATCAGGCACGTCAGGTCAGTTTGCTACCTTATGAACTGATTCGGTAAATTCATTACTTGTATTAATAGTCAGAATATAATACAGTGTGTACAAGGTATCACATTATGTTGCAGACGGCGAGCTGAAAGTCTATACAGATGGCTGTTGCACGAACAATGGAAGATGTTCAGCAAGAGCAGGAATTGGCGTGTACTGGGGACCAGGCAATCCACTTAACGTTAGTGAGCGGTTACCAGGGCGACAGACAAACAACAGAGCTGAAATACATGTATGTTGAGTAGACATTATTCGATTATTGATGTATTTATATATACATATATATATATATGCGCAGGTGTCTCTTTTTTGTGAATAATATAACTAAGTATATGATGTACATTCTATATAATTATGTTATGCTCTCTTTTAGGCTGCGTGTAAAGCACTGGAACAAGTTAGAGAAATGGGGAAAACATCAGTCACAATCCTTACAGACAGTGTTTTTTGCATCAATGGTAGGCATATAGACAGGAATATTATAGTGTATGGCAATGTATAATGTGTATATACCTGATAAGAATGCTGAAACCCACAAAGAGTCTCGTGTGAAATTAGTTGGAGATTTAAATTCATATCACCATTTTGATGTCAGTTTACAAAAACACAAAGTTATTATGAAGATTGATTAATGTCGCACACTTTTTCATACAATCATTCAAAATTTGTAGAACTTGTATTTTCAATACTAATGGCATTCTCATTAAATAAGTTCATTCGGTTGGTAGACTAATAGATCTATCTGGGTTAATTGTTACTCAACCGTGAAGATTGAAAACATACAGCTGACGTTTCACCTTCTATCAGGAGGCTTTCTCAAAGCTGACTCAAGATTATCAGTTTTGACCACCAGATGGTGTAGTGGTCAACAGCTTGGTCCACACGTGACTGAGTCTACGTATCTACTGTGACTAACACTTCACGGGTACAAACAACATCCCATAGGAAAACCTCCACTGAGAAACTCAAGGCGATGATTGTCCTATCATATGTCATAGGCGTCACGGACGTAGTTCAACGTTACCTAAAAAATGCAGGTGTGGCATCAACAGTTATACCGCTTGAGACCTTAAAAAGGCATTTGGTACACCCTAAGGACAAATCAGATATACACAAAATTACAGACTGTGTCTACAAGATACCGTGTGCAATGTGTGGAAAAAGTTATATTGGAGAAACCGGCCAAAAATTTGAAACCCGCCTTAAAGAACATAAAAAGGACATAGACATCGTAGCAGCCAAATCTTTCACAAAGGCCCAACGAAAACAGTCGGCTACCGAAATCACCAAATCCGCGATCACGGACCACGTAGCGAAGGACAATCACACCATCGATTGGGATAATTCGAAGATCATCGATCGCGAGCCAGTCAAAATCAGGGGTTGGATTAATGAGGCCATCTGGATCCGCAAGACCCCGAACATGAACTGTGACGAGGGGGGATACAGACTCAGTCACGTGTGGACCAAGCTCCAAGCTGTTGACCACTACACCATCTGGTGGTCAAAACTGATAATCTTCAGTCAGCTTTGAGAAAGCTTCCTGATAGGAGGCGAAACGTCAGCTGTACATTTTCAGTCTTCACGGTTGAGTAACAATTAACCAAGATAGATCTAATGGCATTCTTTTTAGGCATCACAAAGTGGATCAAAGGATGGAAGAAGAAAGGTTGGAAGTTGTCAACAGGAGGTGATGTGAAAAACAAAGAGGACTTCCAAAGACTGGAATCTTTACAACATGGTATTAATGTCAAGTGGGTACGTGTGACAATAATTATACTATGTAAACTCATAAAAGTATTGCAATCTATCTTGCAGTATTGCAAATTCGTAGTGGTGACAAATTAAACCTGGTGCAAGTTTGTAAACCAACAGGTAAATCCAGCTGATATTTATTCTACTCATGGATGACACTGCTTCTGTGACATTTTACACTGACATCACGTGCGATACTTATCACTTCTAATTTTGGCAGGTCCACGTCAGAGGTCACTGTGGGATTGTTGGAAATGAAAAGGCAGACATGCTAGCCAATCAGGGGGCAGCCCTTGATGGTTGAGGCCAGTCGTCACTGTAAAATTGTTGTTATTATAATAAACCAGATTTCTACGAAATTATTTTCAGTACTACTATTTATACCATATATTTAACTGTCGCCGTGCACAGCACACGACCCCTGCATATATATTTTATTGAAACGCTTCAAGTGCCTGTGACTACTACTACTAGAGCTAGCATGCACGGTACTGTCCACAAAATCACACCAAGAAACAACTCTTGATAACTTTTAGTAAGTTTCACATATTCATAGATTTCAATCTTATAGTCTTCAATATAGTCTCATGGACTTTGAAGACTATTATGTTACTACGATGTTAAGAGGAGCCGCATTTGAGGTAAACGACCATGTTCACGCATTCCACGCATTCTCACAAGCACTTTATGCATGCTCACGGGAAACTCCTTGAACACGCGCATTCGAAACTCCAAACTCGTTCCAAAATTGGCCGCTTTTTTGCTGGCGGCGCCACCGTTCAGTAACAATGGGAAATTTGATGTTAAAATATAACTATTTGGCGCCATCTAAGTGTAAAGAATAGTTATATTTTAACATGAAATTTTTCCGTGCCATTGGACGGTGGCGCCGCCCTGCGAAAGAACGGTCAATTTTGGAACTCCAAACTCGTTAAAAAATTGACCGCTTTTTCGATGGGCGGCGCCACCGTCTAATGGCACTGGGAAATTTCATGTTAAAATATGACTATTTTTTACACTAGATGGCGCCAAAGAGTCATATTTTAACCAATCTTACCGCAAAGATACCACCGCGTTCACACGGACGTTTTTTGCCCGATCCTAATTAGGCCCGAGCCAGACGGACGATTTTTTGGGCCGTGCCAATTTGGCACGAGCCAATTTGGTCCCATCGAAAACGTCGGACCAGGCCCAAGCCAAATTTTAGCACCAGCTTTCGACGAGCAGTGGAGCGGTAGAATTGGTTGAGCGGTAGATGCCGCGAGTGTCGAACGTGTACTTCGACGAAATAAAGTCCAAAACAGTATAAAAATTCAAAAAATTTGATCAGGATGCACGTTTTCAAGATTGAGAATTGAACTCGGAACGAAAGTAAATACTGAATCGACTCGTACACAACGCTATTTCGCGACATACTGCCACTGTATCTGTGAGATATTTGTGCAATAAAATTTATTTGAATTTGTATTTGACAGACAGTATCCCCTTGCGTACGTGTGAACGCTCCGACTCAAACCGGCCCGAGCCAGATTTGGCCAATTTGGCTCGAGCCAAACCATGACCGTGTGAACGTGCCACACTGAAGAATAGTACGCAACCAATGAGTGTCTTCAGCGAATATTAGCACCCGGCAGTTAGCTGATTCGGCAAAGGACAGAAAGATGCGATATGATATGACTACTAGGCACTTAGGATATGACTACTAGGCACTTAAAAAAAAAAAACGTGCCTAGTAGTCATATCATATCGCATCTTTCTGTCCTTTGCCGAATATTATGTTCGGATAAACGTATGACAAGGATGGGCAAGTCATAACTGGCACAACTAGCAAGACAATATATTCTAGATTAAATTAAATATAAAGTAACAAGTTTTAAGATATAAATAATAATTTGAGTAGTTATTCTTTATATAGTTACTGTTTAATTGTTATTATTAGCCCATAATGTTGTTATAACCTCGCATTTTCACGTGTACCACAATGTCTCCGCAAAAGCGATTTTAGGCAAATCGTAGAGGTAAATGACCGGCGTATTACCGCTTGCACATTCCAACTTGTACTTTGTAGTACTGTTCTCCACGTAGTGAATTTGTTCTATAATGCAAGCAGCTAACTGTTTATTTATCAAATATTTAGATTGTAAAGATTTTATTTTAGAGGTATCGAACGACGGTTGGCTGTTGTTCAACTTGTTGTCACACCCGCTAAACTCGGACCGTAGGACCCAATTGGCAATTGCCACCATAATTCGTATTCCTACTATTAACCGCAACCGTAATTCAAGGACCTGTCAACTTTTCACAGCATGAAAATTTGATGGAGATCGAAATTAGCGAAATATGGTTTAAATAATGGCTAGCTCGGTAGGCCCACAGGCACTTGGAGCGTTTCAATGAAATATAATGCTAAATAAATACGAAATCTATTTACTACCAAAGTCTTAATGTTTCTCTACTCTCTTTCACCTATTATTGCCGACAATTTCCTGTAAATGCTCATCTGCAACACACGCTGGCTGCCGCACGCTAGCTGCTGCACACTGAGACATAAATATATAATAATATAGCAGGTAGGAAAGCGTGCTGCCAAAATTCGCTTGACGCTCGCTTGATTTCACACAAATACAACACAAATAGTCAACCATTCTACTACATCTTTGTTTCTATTTGAAGAACAGTGTCCACTTGTTATAAAAACATACTGTCTGTGTTCGTAACCAAGCTGTGTCACGCGAAATCACACAAAGACTGACGGAATTCTCGCGTTCGCTCCCATTGCGCAGTTTATGTAAATAGAATTTGTTTCCTTCAAATAGAAACAAAGATGGAGTAGAATTGTTGAATATTTGTTGTATATTCGTGTGAAATCAAACGAGCGTCGAGCGAATTTTGGCAGAACGCTTTCCTACCTGCTATATATTTATGTGTCAGTGTGCAGCAGCCAGCGTGTGTTGCAGATGAGCATTTGGACGGCATTTACAGGAAATTGTTGGCAATAATAGGTGAAAGAGAGTAGAGAAACATTAAAGGCATAATTCGACCATTGATTATGCAATTTTAACGAATGCTACAGTAACTGGCACCTTGTGTAGTTAATAAGTACATTACCTTATAGCCAAACGCGTATTAGTTTGTCCAATATCACTGCTGGTTACTAAGAAATGTCTAATTGAAATCCGCAGTCCAAGAAATCGGTTGTTGACAGTTACAAACCGTCATGCCGGCCGTAACCGGTCGTAACTGGCGAGGCGGTGTCATACAGATTATAGTGCACCGGACATTTTCGCACGTATGCTCGGCCGTCAGTGATTTCGATCCTTGTAGTCTGAGTGCGCATTCCGTACGTTATGGTTTTACTCTTGGGATTCGGGAATAAATGAATATACGTTCTTGAGATTACAAGCAACTTATAATATGTGGCAACTAGGCAAATAATAACACTAGGCAAACAATTTACCCGGGACAAACAATTCGATGCTCAACATCTTGTAGCAACATGTGACGTCACCGAACCGAACTCGATGTTTATTTTGTTGGCCATAAATTTCGCGTTGTCGCCAGATTACCAAATTTACGGATTTCAATTAGACATTTCTTAGTAATTAGCAGTGATATTGGACAAACTAATACGCGTTTGGCTATAAGGTAATGTACTTATTAACTACACAAGGTGCCAGTTACTGTAGCATTCGTCAACTTTGCATAATCGATGGTCGAATTATGCCTTTAAGACTTTGGTAGTAAATAGATTTCGTATTTATTTAGCATTATATTTTATTGAAATGCTCCAAGTGCCTGTGGGTAGGCCTACCCATAATATTTTAGTACCAAACTATTCTGTTAGTGTTAGATACTATAAATGTAAGACACCATTTATGGCCTGTGTATCACTATGCAGGTTTAAATTTTGCAAATTACTGGTTCGTAGTTCTGGCAGAAACATGTTTGTTAGTGTATGCGATAGTCAAGTTTGAAATGTTTTTGTGCTTATTTGTGTGAATTCATGCATTACAGAAGCTTGGCAAATCCCTCCTGCAACTGAAGAAGCGAGAACTTCCGATTTCATAAACAGTAAGCATAGTGGTTTTATCAGCGAAAATTATTCTCATCTTTCTAACCTAAAATTCTGTCGGCATGTTGGACGTTACTGTAAAGACGCTAGATGGACAAAATCACAGCTACTCCGTCCCGGATGACACGACAGTCAGAACATTCAAAGAGAGGATCGCATCATCCGTGTCCATTCCCGTTGACACGCAGCGCTTGATTTACCACGGCCGAGTACTTCAAGATGACAAGAAACTCATTGACTATGATGTCAATGGAAAAGTATTACACCTCGTGCAGAAGCCTCCACCAAGCTCCCAACCAGCTGGGACCAGCACTGCAACGCCTACACACTCTGGCACTCACGGTCAACCGGTCAGAGGTCAGGACAGCTTCATCGTCGGAGCTTTCACCGTTCCTTCAGAAACGGCCGACCATTCCCAAATTCAGCAAGTTGTGCAGCAGCTAGTCGGGGGAATGGGTGAACTGGGACGCAATGCTCAGGTTTCTACCAGCCCAGCTGAAGATGGCCAGTCTGTGAACCTGCACATTAGCCTAGGACCTATTGACCCAGCACAGATTTTTAACGACCCGCAACAAAGGCTTAACACGGCAGTTCGTCTGGTCGGTTTGGCGAATCAAGCACTCGATAGACTTGACAACCCCAATGACGACGTTAGCCCTACTGGACCAGCTGCCCAGGACTTTACATCGCCACCAGCAGAAGGTGCACCAACTATAATTCCTCCCGGAGCCACTGTGGCGACTGAACCAGGCCCAGACGTTCCCATGGACACCTCATCGCCGAACGAAACAACATCGAGTTCTGATGGCGGTAGCAGACAGACGGGCGCGCCGCCGCCGACTCATCAGCCGCAGCAGGAAGGTGGCAATGACAGGGCGCAGCACCCGCCGTGTCCGCCCCGGGGTCTGGCGGACGTGATGACGGAGGTGACAACCCTCAACGCTAGACTAGTACCCTATCTGGAAAGGTTTCAGCAGCTGATGAGAGACGACCCAGAACTCGGCGACGACGCTCAGCGAATCATCGACGCGCAGCGCACCTTCAATCTCGTCTCGGCGGCAATGCACCATCTGGGCCACGCCTATCACGACATCAGTGACCTGATGATTGACATGAGGCATCCCGCTCCGCGTCACCTCTTGAACCCGCCTCGAGCGGTCGTCATGTATCCGCAGCACAGGCCCCCTCACGGTGTGCCGATGCACACACACGTCAGCGTCCCCGTAACCATCGCGATGGCCGTGCCCACGCCGCAGGCGTCGTCCACGCTGACGGGGAGTGCAGGGACGGCGGCGGCGGCAACGCAAGTAATCACGGCAACGACGACCGTGCCGTCGGCCTCTGCCACCATGTCAACGGGTCAGCAGCCGCAGACGCACCAGCAGCCGCAGATGCACCAGCAGCCGGTCATCAACATCAGGAGGCCCGTTAACGGACCGCAAGGCGCACCGATGAACCCGTTCATGAGGTGGGGCGTCGGTCCGACGACCGTCACCATCAATCGCATCTCGACGACGATTCCCGCGGAGATGCCGCATCAACCCTCGGCAGCGGCCAGCAGCGCGGCCAGCGGCGCTACATCCGCAGCAACGACCGCGTCCGGCGGAACACCGGTCCACCAGACGCATGCAACCCCGGCTACGTCGGGCAACAATCAACCCCCTAGAGAGCAGATGCCGCACTGGGGTCCGCCGGGGCAGCAGCCGGGAGCTATGCCGCAGTTTCTGCCGCCCGAGCTCTTGCAGAACCTGCTCGGTGCGGCCGCCGGCGCCGCTGTGAGGGGAATGCAGGGAACTTTCCAGCCGCGTCCTGACGGAGCAAACCCGACGACGGCGACGAGGACGCGACCGACGGCAACGCTGCACATCCCGCGGCCGTCCGCCCCGCCCCCCGGGGTCGGCATGCCCGCTCTGCCACACCCCATGGTCTCCCTCGACCCTTTTCTGCCGTGCTCCTCCCGTCACTGCATCCCGGCGAGGCCACGCATGCCGCCAGGCGCGACTCCGCAAGCCGCACACGATGCCAACATAGCAGATATCATCGGTGGAGTCGTCAACTCCTTCATTCAACAGCAGGTGGTCGGAGGACTGCTAGGCACGGGGGTTCCGGGGATGCCATTCCAGCCTCCCATGCCACCGGGAGTGGGGCAGGCCCCTGCCATACACTTACAGAACATGGCTCAGTTACTGCGTAACGCACAGCAGAATGCTCCCCAGCAAACTCCCCGCGTAGCGGCGCCACCTACTGGAGCAAACGAGCAGGGAGCGACTGACGAGGTGTTCCTCAACTTACTTCAAAGTATTGCTGGTCAGTTCTCGGCTGATGACAGTGTGCAGCGCGTCACCATAGGGGAGTTTCTGTCCTCTCTCGGCGAGGAGTACCAGCTGGGACAGGAGGGCAGCATTATTAGCGACCTCTTCTTTTGCCTCGCCAATCACCTGACGTTCAACGACCTGATGCGTGTCATGTTCGGTGAGGCTCAGCCACTGCAGGACGTGCAGCCTCAGATTCTCGCCTTCGTTAACGAGCGCGTGCTGCAGGGCCAGCCAGCCACCGAAGCCAACGTCAGCGCCGCCGTCGACCGCATCATGGATCAGCTGATGGCACATCTCGGCGAGACGGTCGCCGACGTTGAGGTGAACGACGGCGTTGACTATCTCGCGACGGTCAGCGCCTTCGTACGTGCGAGGCTGCGGCACGTTGTCGGCGTCGTCATCGGCAGCGAGACGGACGCGGCGGGATTCGGTGAGCGAGTGCGGGCGAGCGTGGAGCGCAGCCTGCAGGAATGCATCGCGCTGCACCTGCACTGCCTGCGCGGCGGCCAGCCCGCGTTCATGGCCCTCGTGTCGGCAGAGCTTCGTCGCATCACTGCCGACACGAACCCGCTCATCCAGCAGTGGATAATGAACACGGTGCGGCAGCAGCTAGCCGCCGCCATCCCCAACGTGAGCGTCACCGTCGACGACGTCCGATGCTACGTGACGGGTGCGGCGACGCCGGCGCCCCCTTCTGCACCCGCGCCCGCGGCGAGAGCGGAGGCGACGCCAATGGTAACAGCGGAGGATGGCATCGCCATGGCGATGGATTCGTCTGATGAGTCGATGCACAGTGCGCAGGAGCCGAGCGAGGAGGACGACGACGAGACGGCAGCGGACAGCCGCGGCGCGCGGCGCGATGACTGGCGCGGCGTTGTGCCGCACGAGTGGGTCGACGTCATCAGCAGGGACATCGAGACGCAGCAGCACCAGAGGGCGCAGGCATCGATGAGCGACGCCTACCTGCAGGGTATGCCGGCGAAGCGACGGAGAGTGTCGTCAAGCATCCACATGGCAGACGGAAAGCCGCTGTCGTCGAGTCTGCCGGACCTCCTCAAGAAAGCCATATCTGCGACGGGCGCCCATCCCGTGACGAGCGTCGCCGCGGTAACCAAAGAGGCTGCGGAGTCGATGGTGATACAGGAGTTGTACGAGCAGCAGGTCAAGCATGACATAAAGCGCCGTCTGGAGGCCGATTCTGATTACAACCCCGGTCGTTTCCCTCACACCGACGATTTCTTTGCGGATAAGCAATAGCCGGCTAGCTGTGAAGGCAAACGTTCATATATCTGAAAATTTCAAAAATGTCAAATGAATTAACTAAAATATTTAATCGAAGTTTTGGTTACGTATGATACATTATTGAAAAATGAGAGTAACGTAATTTTACATAATTTTAATATTCACTTTAGGCTGATATACATTCACGTAATATATGTTTTGTATTTATCAGAGATTTACTCACTAGGTATTGAATCTGCAATCTGCTGCAATTTTAATTGTCAAAATTTTCCTCATGAATAAAGGTGAATCTGGTGTACTGATATGATAAATTGATGTGTATGTATTGTCATATATGCTATCTTGCTACGGTGCCTGCATACATTTGTACACATACTTTTACATGTCTTATATGTAAATTCTAAACGATCGCAGCTGTGTGTGAGACAAGAGTTGCATATATTTTTTTCGCCAATGAATGTGAATTGACATGACTCGCGTGTTTTGTCATGAAAGACGATGTTACGCAAATGAAACCATCATGCAAGAAGCCATAGACGAAACCCGAAAATACACAAAGCACTAATCCATAGACGTAGATGGCAGTGATGTGAGGAAGCGAAGGGTATGTCTGTGGCAATGCAGCTTGCGTTTTTGATTTCGGAACACTTATCAACTATCTTACCGTGGAATACTGCTGATGGTATAGCCAATAACTGTGTTCAGCAGGCAACAAGGCAAGCTGTTCTTCGATGTGTTGTTTACACGTGGATATGTTAGTGTATCACTCCCAGTCGATGGCCTACTCTTTATAAACCGAGTGCATCTATTCATCTGGCAATTTTTACAGTGACTTTCGTCCTCTGTTACAGACTTACATGGAAGACTATTTGCACTGCCTTCGTGGTATAGACCACTCAGTGATGTGATCATGTGTGTCATCTCGTATGTTATGGGAAGAACTCTCATGCCCAGAACAAGTCTGTTGACAGTTAAAAGAATCTTTCTGTATCTAGTACCATTTATAAGTGCATGCAAAACTAGTGGAAGAACTTCAGAGTCAAGCGACATACGTACAGGTATGCAAAGATATCAACCATCATCAAGACTGGCAATCAAATTTCCACCATCTCCAGAAACCGAGCAAACAGCGCCTCACATCAAACCGATGGGCGAGGCAGAACTCGTAAAAGAATTCACGATTGCGCAGTCTGTGGATAGAGTGCCTGCGTTTGTTTCATCGTCTTTAGCACCGTGCTCATCAAGAATTATATACGGAGCCCCACCAGTGGCAGCGTTGAGTCACTTAAGAATTCTATCCGAGGCGGCGAGTACTTTATCTTCCACTACAGTGTGTCCAGCTGACAATACGAAACAAGACGAATCATTGATGCAGAACATAAACGTTGAGAGTGACGTTCATTGTGACGGTGTTGCAAGGTTGGATCAATCGAAGAGTAGCAGCGAAGCAGGCAGCATGCGAGAAACGCTGACTCCAGAACCCACGACGTCCCGTCACAAAGCAAAGTTGGAATGCCGTCCTGGAGTCTCTAGCCTTGCAGCGTTGTGCCACGGCGCGATGCAGATACGTGGCTGCGATGAAGCATCAGCGTTGCCGACGACAACCCACGCCCAACAGAGCGCGCGTGGACAACAGCAGCTGGCAGCGTCTGCGAATGAGCCGGTCGAGCAAATATGTTACCTGTTCAACGACAGACGTGCGTCGTCGTCGGACCGCGCCGCCGCCGACAATGACGACGATGAGTCGACGCTCGTGCTCGGCATGGCTGACGTCATGCCCTTCAACGTCGTCGCCATCGAGGAAGAGGTCGCGGCAGCAGACTATGACACTGGCGACGCTGCGGCTGCGGACTATGAGATGGTGGCGCCACTAGACGTGATCGACGTCGCGGAGGGCAATGTGTCGCGGACCGATCACACGTACATGACACCTTCTACTCCTCATCCTCCTCTGCCGGCGAGGGAGGACGGCGAAAATGATGGTCGAGAGGAAACGAGCCGGAGAGATGAGATGAGATTTGGTGACACTATAGAGGAGGAAGAGATGAGAAGCGAAAGCGACGCGACAAAGAGTCGCAGTGGACATTGTGCAACGGCAGGTCTCACAGGTGAGTGAGTGTTCACGCTGGAACACTTTGTTTCTCATATACCTGGGTATGTGGGGGGAAGGTATGCCCAGGACAAATCCATAGCTAAATTGAAACAGTTGTACTTGGGTCTATGAATTGCCCAGGAGTAGATTTAATCACCATGTGTGCTGTGCAAAAACGATATCCTCCAACCCTTTGATCAAATTCATTTTTTTCACTTTTTGTCACTTCTTTTTGTGCATAATCATGTATACTGTTTACTTCACACTTGGGCCTGGTGTTCACAAACAGGGTGGGTGGCCTGAGCCCCTGGACCCCACCTGAACCACTGTGTGGATTTGCTATTGCCAGTATCTGTCATGATGTAGGACCTGTTTGTATTGGTGTACGTGTTGTATTGGTGTACTCAAAGTGCAGCTGAAGTGGACGTTGTCATATCAGGTACTACAGATATGTACCCGAGGTACGTATGTATGTATATTGTATACACAAGTGTACCAGACCTGTATCTTCTCAGCATATATGTACCCTGTGTTTACATAAACGTACCTGCCCCTGAGATGGAGATCGAATGAAGACGGTCATGGAGGTGTAGGGGGCAGGAGGAGGAGGAGGAGGAGGAGGGGAGAAGGTGATGGAGTAGGGGAGGAGGAGGAGGAGCGGAGAAGGTGATGGAGATCGAATGAAGACGGTCATGGAGGAGGAGTAGGGGGCAGGAGGAGGAGGAGGAGGAGGAGGGGAGAAGGTGATGGAGTAGGGGGAGGAGGAGGAGGAGCGGAGAAGGTGATGGAGATCGAATGAAGACGGTCATGGAGGAGGAGTAGGGGGCAGGAGGAGGAGGAGGATGGGAAAAGGTGATGGAGTAGGTGAGGAGGAGGAGGAGGAGGAGGAGGAGGAGGGGAGAAGGTGATGGAGTAGGGGAGTAGGGGAGGAGGAGGGAGGAGGGGGAGAAAGTTGATGGAGTAGGTGGAGAGGAAAGAGGAGGAGGAGGGAGAAGGTGATGGAGTAGGGCGGAGGAGGAGAGGAGGGAGAAGGTGATGGAGGAGGGAGAGGAAGAGAGGAGAGGGGAGAAGTGATGGAGGAGGGAGTAGGAGGCCAGCGAATGGAGGAGAGGAGGGGAGAAGGTGTTGGAGTAGGGGGAGGAGGAGGAGGAGTGAGGAGGACGGAAGGGAGATGGTTTGGAGTAGGTAGGAGCGAGGAAGAGAGGAGGAGGGAGAAGTGATGGAGGAGTGAGGGGAAGGAGGAGGAGGGAGGAGGGGAGAAGGTGGATGGAGTAGGTGGAGGAGAGAGAGAGGAGAGGGGAGAAGGTGATGGAGAGATAGGCGGACAGGAGAGGAGGAGGAGGGTAGAAGCGTGATGGAGTAGGCGAGAGGAGGCAGCGAGGAGGGGGGGAGAGGTGATGGAGATGCGAATGAATAAGGTCCATGCAGGAGAGGAGGGGCAGGAAGAGGAGGAGCTCCAGAGAGGTGATGAGATAGGTGGGAGGGAGGAGGAGAGAGGAGGAGGAAGAGGGGAGAAGCGAATGATGGAGGAGGAGGAAGGCAGGAGGAGGGAGAAGGTGATGGAGAGGAGTAGAGGAGGAGAAGCGTGTTGAGTTAGCGGGAGGAGGAGAGAGGAGTAGGAGGAGGAGAGGAGGAGGAGGGGAGCGGTTGGAGTAGGAGGAGGAGCGAGGAGCGGGAAAGGTGATGGAGTAGGTGGTGAGGAAGGAGGGAAGGAGGAGGGGGAGAGGGAGAGAGTAGGAGGGGATAGTTGGATTATTCAACATTATCAGGAGTAGAATAACAACATATACTGTGTTTATTCTCTGTTTATTCCTGATTTGTGATGCTATATAGCCATTAATACTGGTTAAAATTTATTATGTAGTCTTGTACAACTGAAACCTAGTTGCGTTAAGATTTCAGTTCGTGCTGCATTACGTCGAGAGAGCCCGACTGCTATTTATGTAGGCACGGTGCATCGTATAGAATTAAATGTTCTGAACCTTGCGTTGTTTATGTATAAAGTCCAAACGTTGAAGGAAATCCAGTTCGTTCGGCTGCATTTCTGCTTGAAGAAAAAGCTGCCATCCACACAAATATTTCATAATGTCATAGTCATAAGTCTGAGATGAACTTCCACAAGGATTTATTATTGCTCACGCCACGCGTGAGCAAGAGTCCGGAAATGTTGTCTAATATACATGAATAGAATAGTAACTGTGCGCGTCCCGTCGTTTGGAACGAAGAGCTCCCCAGTGTGGTCCATATATATATGCCCAGCGACGTGTGAACGTCACAGTCAGGAGGTCCCCAGGCACTGCAGGCCGAAAAAAGCGTCCGGGCCCGCCCCCCGCCCCGCCGGCCCGCCCCCCCGCCGCAGCGGGCCCCCCCGGCGCGCCCCGCGCCCCCGCGCGCGGCCGCCCCCCCCGCGCCCCGGCCCGCGCCGCCCCGGCCGGCCCCCCCCCGCCGCCCCCGCCCCCCGCCCCCCCGCCCGCCCCGCCCGCCACCCCCCCCCGCGCCCCCCCCGCGGGTCCGGCCCGCGCCCCCGCCCCCCCGCCGCCCCCGCGCGGCCCGCGCCGCCCCCCCGCGCCCGGGCCGCCCCCCCGCGCGCGCCCCCCCCCGGCCCGGGCGCCCCGCCCCGCCCCCCGCCCGCCCCGCGGCGGCGCCGCCCGCCCGGGCGCCCCTCGCCACTCGCCTGAGCGCACTGCACAAGCGTGCGTCATACGTCTCTACATCCGGTTTTGCATCCGGGTTCGCGATCTCGTGACGCTTAGTCACGGCGAAGAGATATGTTTCTAGAAACTTCTCT